TTTTGTTTGCCAAGCTCAATGATATGAGGCGGCGGCAACAGTGGAAAACAAAAGCGTTTTGTCGACTGATAATGGGTGACAACAGGGCCAGTCCACAGACAGAGAAGCGTTAGCGACTACACTGGCAAAGAAACCGAGTACATAAATCCAAATACAACTTCACAATGATCTAAAATTGTTCATTAATAATTTTAATTGAAAATATTGAAGCGAAATTGAAGTTAATCTGATTAAGCTATTAAACATTTAATAGTTAAGAACTATAAGAGGCATGGAACAAGAGAATTAAACTAGACCTCTAGCGTGTTGCCATCATCATTGCTTTTTATTGTTATTTTGGTGTAATGCATTCTATTCATTGATAATTTAATTAACATTCATTTAATATATATTTACTTTTGCGCTAAGCTACTGAAAATATATTAAATTAACTTGGGTAACACAACTTAATTAAGTTCGCATATATGGATTAAATCGTTGGTCACAAATTGTTAATTAATAAAATTAGTATTATGAAATTAAAGATTAACAGCACCGAGAAAGACAAATATAAAATACGAAAATACTTTTAAATGTCAACAATCGCTGTAGATTCCTTTGTGAGTACCTTTTGAAACATAAGTAAATATTTAAATGACTATTGTTTCTCCGAGTGCACCTGCTATCGGAACAAGTCCCGAGGCAACAACAAAAACTGGATACGACGATTCACTACTCATATGACTTGGCAGACCACGCGACTTCGCACATGAAGCACCACATCACCGCCTCGCCCCTTTCCACTCGAAACGCTGCCATTTAAATGTGCTGATTTCTGTTTGCACATAACTAAAGTTTGTGTACCGACTTTTCCGCAGCCATGCGCGTACATATTTAATTTCACTGATGAGGATGATAATGGCACGGGACACGGGGCCCGGGGCTCGGGGCGATGGGTATAACACCTCTCTTGACATGTGGCCCACAGCCAGAAAACTAGAGCCAGACACGCTGGCACCTGGTCTATTACTATACTACTCTATTACCTTACCTTACGGCTTGTCGCAGCGTTACGTTACGGCCCATGTAATAAGTTCACACCTGCCGCGAGCCACTTTGATTGATGTCTGGCCGACCGGCGAGTGTTTGGCCATTCAATTGGCGGTCAGTTATCAAAAACTATTAATGAATTCTCATTCCCTCCCAATTTACGACTCATTTGCCTAAGGCTCTAAGTGAAATCATCCATAATGGTTCATTCAGAGCGGTGATTTTGATTTTTTTTTTTTGTGGAAGATTGATATGTGTGGCTTTGTTTGATCGCCAATCAAACGCGTATTTTATTGTGTTTCACACGTGCCTGAAGCCCTGATCCACAGATCATAATGAGACTTTGTTGGGCCAGAGTTTTCCACAAAAGGTGCTAATTCGCTTGATTTGCGTAGCTGAATGCGCCTCGAATTCATGTGAAAGTCCAGCGATCGAAATCTTGCGAATCGCACTTTGTAGATCGCAAGGCGATTGTGAGTACTAGAGCGTCGGGGGGTGTATGAAATCACAGTTTGTGTATAGCCTGAAATCCCCGAACTTATCGGGAATTAATACCAGCTCGCTAATAACGGCTATATGTATTTTTGGACGCCATATGTGGTGGATATCGGGCGAATGACTTGCGAATTGGGTTAAGGAATGCGCGCCTTCAAAGGCACATGATGCCGGCCGTCTGGTTTTGGATTTTTTGCTTTTATATCATGCATATATCGAGGCGAAATTTAACAAAAAACTGTCATGTGACCAACTGGCTAGCAAATGTCTAAACATGGTCACGACTACCCAGTCGGGTCTAAAGAAAATGATTCACCCTCCCCTCGGCTGATTCACTTCAGGTGTCCAGACCTTGATTTCCAGCATTTCACCATTTCATTAGTGTACACACACATAAGTGGCAGTTTTATTTTTCGCTAGCTCTTTATTCTTAACCATCTGCCTATCACAGACCGAAAGTATTTTTAAATCATTTCTTTTGGACCCGGTGGAAATATGAACGATAAGTGGAGGTTCAGATTCTGTCGTGGAAATTTACTCAAGCGTGCTGCCATAATTTATTGCCGTCACCCAACTAAATTAAGTAAATAAACAAATAAATTAATTTGGCCCGTGTGGAGTTTTTAACTGCTATTAGTGTAAACGTTTGTTTAGTTTACAGCGATTCCGAAAAAAATCCTGACCTAGCACAAAGATAGCATTGAAAAGGGGGTGTTTCGGTGTCTTTTTGAGGGGGAGTTAGTCGGGCCAGCTGTCTACACTTTACAGGTTTTTATTATTATTATTATTCTCTAAGTGTGAGAGCGTGTGCTTGTGGGCAAAGTGCAAAAACCCCAAAAGCTGTCGACTCTTAATTAGCAGAGTGAAAAGTTTCTATCACGTGATGGCGATGGCGAATGTTGGCGACAAGCGCGGCCATAAATGTATATACAACCCGCATATTGGTCAATACACACTCGAATCTGACAATTTCACCATTACGCTGTATATATTTTAAATGCCAGCTTGGCGTCTGACCGATAAGGTGGCCGAATGACAGCATGGACAAGGCGCTAATCGAGTTAGCCAAGCAACAGGGCCCTCAGATTACGTTTATGGAAAACCGATTGAAATATTTTATGGACACTGTCAACAAATGTCACCGAAAATTGTCATCAATTAGGTTTTTTTTGCATACCGAAAGAGTTTTGGTATCTATGTTGTATCAGTATGAGCGTTCGCAAAGTTTGCTATCAAAATAAAATGATTAAGATTTTATTGAACGAATCATAAACAAAATAAAAGAAACATTATTAAAGTATAAGGATTTTATAATACAAGCAAACGCAGATATTTTATTTTTAATCTTAACATGTTAATTCTTACGAAACAATCGATATCCATTATTCTTGATGCATGTGTTAAGTAGGTAAAATACGGTTTTAAGTTATATTTTTTTCGGTTTCCAAAATATTAAATAAACTTGTAGTATATATATTTTACAATCTGTAACTTTGATCTTTTTAGTAAATGCGAAGTGCTGAGCTTGATATGAAGAAAAGAATTCTTATTAAACTAAACAAATAAATAGCTTTTCGGAGCACTCAAATCTTATCGTATGTGATTCCACTAAATGAAATTATGAGACTCGCATTCCTAGAAAAGCGGACGTGGGTGTGTCTGCCAGCTAACCGTTCACAGAGCATCCCTCTGTTCATGCCCCGCTATCACAGTCACACTCGCAGTCACAACAGGAACCAAAACAACAATCAGAACCCACGCACAAGTCGCGTAAAGTGTCAAAAATCAACATTGTAAAGTGTATGCAGCAGCATAAGTAAATAGTGTTATAAATAATAATGAAATGAATTAAGCGAAAAGCAACAAAAACAATGCGCCTCGCCAACAACAAAATGTGTATGACATAATAATCACGAGAGCAGGCCGCGACCGCCGATTAGCAAGTCATGTGATTCGCTTTTATTTACATTTGCGCCTGACGTTGCTGCCGCCTCCCCCCACCTCGCCCCCACGCCAGCACCACGACCGACGCCTACGTTTGCGGGAGTGCGAGCGAGAGGGCAGTACAGCCGAAGCGATAACGAAGAGAGCCGAGAACGAAACGATCGACGTTAGGTTGGGGATGGGGAGACAGAGGTAGGCAGACAGGCAGAGCATAGTGGGGCACAGTTATTTGCGCGCGCAGCTCAATCGATGAGTGTGGAGCCATGCGAGCGAAGAAGACAGCAACAGCCAGGCGTCAACGCAGCTCCTCGCACACATGCACCCAACACCACTACCCAATATGCACTGCTGGGGGTTTGGGTGATTTAGGGCTTGTTGTTGTTCTTGGAGCTGCTTGTGGTGCAGGCTATCGTTATCGATATACAGTGGAGCAGCAATATGTGGTTAGTGTTGGCCCAATTACTGGTCTGCCACAATTGAATTAGAGGCCGATTAAGCCTTAAAACAGCACCAAAGAAAGTAAATCAAGTACATATATGCAAACTACGTCCATAATCTTGTTTAGCTTAGCTATAAATACTTTTTTAATTGAAACTTTCAGTTAAAATCTTCATTTACATTTTAAGAAGAAATATTAATAAGAATTGTCAATAAGCAATTGTTGCACAAGTTTTAAATTAAAATGGTAAACGGTATTAAATAGTTGAAAGGGAAAATTCACATTTGTATATAATATTTGATTGGTAAAATTTAAAAAAAATTTAAAGGAATAACTATGAAGTTAGACTGAATAGTATTTTTGTGTTAGTGAAAACAAATTTTTAAATGAAGCTAATTCTTACAAAAGCTTTTAAAATCTAATAACAAATATTATTAAAAAAAAGGAAATAGCCATACATATTTTACTTTTCGTCGGCCAAAGGGCATCTGGCAATGAAAATTGCATATAAATCTTTGCGTAAATACAAGGATGTAATCCAGATCCATCCAAAAATTTTAGGTAGCCGGGTGTCTTTTAAGAAGAGCTCACTGTAGTTCGTACAACCCAAGGAAAAGGGACCATGACAATGCCCCTTCTTTGTGACGTTTTCGGGACAGCTGCAATGGCAAAATGCATCACCGTAATCCCTCAAGATTTTGCATTCACTGCTTTTCCGGCTCGATTTTTGGTCATTGATATTGGTTAGACTTCTCAAATCATATCAAAAGGCAGGCGGCGTACGTGACGCTGAGTTGTGCATGCCGAATTTGTGTGCTGGGTTATCGTCCTCGTTTACGCTTTGCCAATTTGCGTTCAAACAAAGGGAAGAGGAAGAGGAATCGCAGGTAGTGCAAGAGAACGGGGTGGGGGGAAAGACAGGGGGTGGGGCATAGGTAAGTGTGAAACGCATCATGAGAACGCCTTTTCGCATGTGTGTAAATGTGTGAGTGTTTTTGCAGCTGCACCTATTTTTCCTTTGTTGTGGGCGCATTCATCGATACACTAATACCGGGTGTTAGTTTTTCTGTTGTTAAACAGATAAAATACTTACCTTAGATAATTTCGCGAAGTTTGTTTTGTAGCTTTTGCGGACGACGAACTATTGCCGGCAGAGGCAGATACGCTGGCAGCGACGCCGGCAGAGGCGTGAGTTGTACGTGCCGGCAATGTTGTTGTTGCTGTTCCTGTAGTTGCTGTTGTTTGGTTATTAACTAGCGCGGCTGCTGCTGCGGACGCCGCGGTAAGCGTGGGCGCAGCCGCTAAATTCGCGGGTGTTGTTGGTGTTGCCGACGGAAAGAAGAGTTTATTCAATAGGGCCATAATAACACACAGTGTGCGAAATCATTTAATAAACACATCTGGCCAATGGAAATCAAAATCGAATATTGAATTTATTTGAATGGAAACTAAACACAGACACACTTTTCGCTTTCCTTGGAATGTGATGTTTTGTGTTGTTGGGGCGAGTGAGTGAGAGGTGTTTACCGTTACACGCGCGCCTGCCCGAGCGAGATGGCGGATGCTGCACGAACAAAACTTTCGCTTTGCACTTTTCTTTCTTGCACTGCTTCTGATCTATTTGATCTCTTCCTGTTCACACAGACAGACACATACACACACCGCAGTGGCTTATTTGATTGAGCAAAAAATATATATGGCTATTTATGTGTTTTTTTTGCGAATCGCGGCGGAAACGACACAGGTTCTTTACCGATCCACATCGAAATGAGAACCGAATATCGCTGGCGTCCGCTTTAAAAAGTTTGCAAGAGACGACGCGTCGCAGTCGTTTTAATTTGTGTGTGTGAGCGAGAGAGAGAAAGAGAGGTAGCGTTTAAAGAGCGCCGTGTGGGTGAGAATGGTCTTTTTGTTGCTGCCGAGCTTCTTTTGGCCAATACACACTTTTTTGTTGTCAGTCATCGCACTTCCCACTTCCGCTCTCCACTTTTCCACCTTCTCTTTTTTAACAAAATAGTACATCAAAATAACTACACGAAGAACAAAATAAATAAAAACCTTCTTATTTAACTGTTTGTTTTTTCGAGGTGTTACATTCTGGCCAGGCCCAAAGGTTGGTCCAAACGTCTCCCACTGACTGTTTGGCCTTTATTTACAATCACAAACACAAACAATACTAGCGCATTTTGCAACGCGAAGTTGGCCGCTGCTGCGCGACAGTGTGTGCACATGTAGTGCGGAAAAACGCTGGCATTTTTAGGTGTTACTTTAAGTGTTGCCAGACCAACTGGAACTTTTGTAACGGACATTTGAATCAAAATAAATCTTTTAAAATGTTAACGTACAAAATAAATCTAAACTTGATTCTTTAATTAAAAATATAAAAAATGTAAAAGCTAATCAATATTTTTATGAAACAAATTAATTTCGATATTCAACATTAAATTTTGTAGAACTTTAAATTCTGTAGTCAAATCAAAATATGTTGCAACTATGGAAAATAAATTTCGAATCCCTTAATTTAAACAGTAAACGCTTTCAGTTTAATTTTAAATTGTTGAACTTTATTTTTCTTGGCTTACATAAACATACTTCAAAATTTTTAGGCCCACTTGCGAAGGAATTGTGGGAAAATGGTTTCGACATGAATAGAATTCACCGTTTTTATAAATTCATACGATCTGGTTAGCGTGTCCTGTCCGTCCTCCTCCTCTATCCATCAAATCCTCCGTATCTTCGATATCCTCATTAGCTGCTGTGTTTCACTTAACTTTAACTGGAACCGAGCAAAAGTAGAAAACATTCAAATCTTAAACATTAGCGTTAAATATTCGTTCGCCTAGGAATTCCGATATTGAAAGGTTTTTAAGAGATTTTGATCAAATAGAACATACATATACATATTAACCATATATAAATGAGGCGACTTTGAGTCGCGCCTTGGAGAAGCTTACGATAGTTATTTTCTCATCTTTTGTTTCTGTGTGTGTTCTTATGTTTTTTACTGTCGTTAAACTGGCTGCTTGCATGCGTGCGTGTTTATGAGTAGAGTGTGTTTTTGTGTAGTGTGTGAGAGTGAGAGTGAAAATAAGTCATGATTCTTTCTGTATCCCAGTTGTAGAGCAACAAAACCGCCTAATCCTTGCAGGTGGACGTGTCCATGGGACTGGCCGGTTGGATAAAGGCCGTGGCCGCCGAGCTGGGCGGATTGGTTGGCGTGAACGCCGACAGTGAGGAGTTGCTGCTGCTGTTGACCATGTTGCCGCTGGACGAGTTGTTCAGGCTGATGTTCATCAGATTGGACGACGACGACGAGGCACTGGAGTTGCCCGTGAGCTGGGCCAGCAGTCCTCCTCCTCCTCCTCCTCCACCGCCAGCCAAAAAGGTGGCGCTGCTGCCCGCCGAAGGCATCGAGCCCAGGCTCAGGCGTTCGCCGCCCAGGTTCGAAAGAAAGCCGCCAGCGGCATTCCCAGCTGACACGGACGCCGACGAGGAGCTGCCGCTGCCCAAAATGCCGAGCAGCGGGTTCGTGGAGGTCAGCACATTCGGTGCGGAAGTGTTAAGGCCCAGCATGGGCGTTGGCAGTGCTGGCTTGATGAACCGCTCGCTGGCACGACGATTCTGAAAGAAGAAATGCAATATTATCTTCCTGGAAGTCATTTAATTGTATGCCAGACTCACCACCAACTGGCCGCAGGCATAGCAGCGGTTCTGGCCGGCCGTGCCCGGACTGAGGGGCCGGCTGCTCGAGGGACTGTGGGAGACGGGACTGCTGATTGTGCGCTGACGCTGGGCACTGACAGCCGATGCAGCGGCCGCCGCTGCCGCCGACGCTGCGGCGGAGGAACCGCCTGCCATTAGGCTCTCGTTGTAGAAACGCTCCTCGTCCATTTCCAGCGACGATTCCGACTCGGAGAGGTGCCGGCAGAGGGCCTCGCGACGCTCCACCTCCTGCTTGAGCTTGCGCTGCAGACGGGCGTTCTCCTCGCGTATGGACTTCTCCTCCAGCGCATACTGCTGCGTCTTGATGGTGGCCTCCTTCTGGGCGGCGGCTAGGTCGGAGCGATAACGGAGCACCTCGGAGCGCAGAATCTGGATGTGGGCACTCAAACTGGTGGCCGTGTCGCCGCCGTTGGCATGGGCATTGTTCGTGATGTCGCGTGGCGTAGTCGGATCTGAAACGGGCTGATCCAGCTTGATCTGCAGCGAACGCTTTTCGGTCTCCAGCTTGTCCATGCGTTTCCACAGCTTGTTTACGAGCGCCTCCTGCTCCTGTTCGAGCGTGTTCTCCAGCTCGACCATTTCGCGGCGCAGCTGTTCGAGGTTCGTCTGCTTGTTGTCCGTCTCCGCCTGGAGCTTCTCGATTTTGCGCATCAACTTGTTCACGAGGCACTCCTGCTCCTGCTCAAGGGTCTGCTCCAGCTTACATTTCTCCTGGCGCAGCTGGTCAAGCTTGCGGGAGAGGTCGTTGGTCAGGCACTCCTCCTCGCGCTCGTAGTGATGCGCCAACGTCTCCTTCTCCTTTTTGAGCGCCTGTATCTTCTTCAGAAGTGTGTTGGAGATGTATTCCTCCTCCTGCTCGGCTTTGGCTTGCTGTTGGTTAGGGAAATACAAGGGATGTGGAATGAATTCAACTTTAAATAATCTTGAAATTATTCTAATTTGCGATGTCATAACGACTGGGAACATGAATGGGATATGTGAGTTGTGCTTTCAGTTTTGAAACTTGATCCCTCGATTTCATATTTGTCTTTCTAGCCATAAGATATTCAATATACTAACAATGATAACAGAGGCCTGTTTGAGACAACGATTCTCCTCCTGCACCACCTTGCACTTGGTCTTGAAGGTGTCCAGCTCGGCTTTCAGCACCCTAGAAGCGTAGAATCAAATAAGTTTCTAGTGTAAACGGGATTACGTTAGCGGTGGATGACTCACTTGTTCTGCTGGGTCAGCGACTCGATCCTCTTCTGGAGCTGCTCCCGGGAAACTGGACTCGGGGGCAGCATGGTGCCGCCATCCAGCGAGCTCTCCGATTCACAAGGACTCTCCATGCCTGCAAAAGCAAAGGTAAATGGCCCTGTGCCATGGCGATTTTTTAAGAATATATTACAAGAAACAACGTATGCCAGTCGCATTTAAGCTATATATGTATATATATGTTCTTTATTTTCGATTTTTTCTACGTCTCGTGAAGAACAAAGAATAAAGAAAATCGGTGGTGGTGTTTGGTTTTGGCCCTGATCCGATAGAAAAGTTTAACCTTCAGCTGTGATTTTCTATGCATCTGGCTTGATGCAATTTTTCGGAAATCGATAGAAGGGCAAGGTCGGCGCAGGAAGGGTTTACAAAGGGGGCAGCAGCACCACCACCCCCCAAACTCCTCCAACCCACTGCCATTTTTTCGAGGAGCCAGCACCACACCCTCCGCCCATTGACCGGCTGAAAATTGTAGCTTTCCCCGAAATTACCTTTAGCTACCTGGCTTTTGTGTTGGATCGCCTTTAAAGACAGCTCCTCCCCCTTCAGCGCTCCTTCGTCACCGCTGCTTCACCAGGGCTCTGGTCGCTTTTCTTCACTTTCCTCGCTTTTCTTTTCCCCTGCGCAGGCGAAAGGGTGCAGCTGCAAAGCGAATCGAATCGAACTTCAGACGACTGCTTAAGGCCTGCCGATCTGCGTACGCGACATTTTGCCGAGCCGATCAAATAAATTTAATATCAAATTGCGAAAAATTGCTTCCACTCTAGAGATGAGCGCGTGACTCTTTTTTGGGCAAGGCACGAGTATGTCGTGATATTTTGTAGTCACGCACGGAGAAATATTAGGAAGACACGACACGACCCGTAATGTATATAAAATATGGACCATGCATAGTTGGAACATCAGAAAATTAAAATATTTATTTTTGATATATGGTTGCCTTGTCTGAATGTTATTTTGTTTCATTTAACGTTTAAAACCATTTAAATCTTAGAAAATTATCAATATTTTCGTGCTTTCTGTGCCGGTCAAACTAAACACGAGCTCTCACGACCAAGCACGAAATTAAATTGACCGTATATGGTGTGAAATACCAAAAAAGCGCTCATCGCAAAACGCTGCTACTCGCTCCCTAGCTAGTGATGACACTTTGGAAAATACCAGTAGAGATGAAAGTAACGTCGACAAATTAATAACGGTATTTAAAACGATATCAAATTTTATTTATTTTCTTTATGTTTGACAGTTCTGGTGCAAAAAGTTACAATTATTTATTATTATATGTTAAAACATGTATGTGGAAAACCTTTTTATTGCTTTGTTAAAATAAAAACACTCACAAAAGTATTATTTGTATTTTTTCAGTATATCGACTTTGGATTAAATTAACGGTGCAATGCGGTCACACCGTCTTCCACGTGCAGCGCGTAAACAGCGAGAAATTTAATAATCTACACAGTTTAATCGAATTAACAATGGCCGACGATGCCGGCCAGGACAAGCGCAAGCAGCACCGCGCCCGCCAGTCCGGCGTGAAGGCGGACAAGAAGAAGCTGAAGGCCAAGAAGGACTCGAACCAAAAGGATCCCGAGCTGACCGCCAGGCAGAGGAATCCCAAGGCGTTCGCCATCAACTCGGCGCAGCGGGCAGAGAGGAACTTCCGGCGCAAGGAGGACATCACGGCCAAGAAGCAACATATTCCAATCGTAGACCAAACTCCGGACGTACCGCCACCCGTACTGATTGCCGTGGTGGGTCCGCCCAAAGTCGGCAAGACTACGTTGATCAAGGACCTGATCAAGAGCTTCACCCGCACGAATGTCACCGAGATCAAGGGTCCCATCACCATTGTGACCTCCAAGAAGCGCCGCATCACCCTGCTGGAGTGCAACAACGATGTCAACTCCATGATCGATGTGGCCAAGTGCGCCGATCTGGTATTACTCCTTTGCGACGCGAGCTACGGCTTCGAGATGGAGATCTTTGAGTTCCTGAACATCTGCCAGGTGCACGGCATGCCCAAGATCATGGGTGTGCTGACCCACCTGGACATGATCAAGAACCCCAAGCAGCTGAGGAAGCGCAAGAAGGAACTGAAGCACCGCTTCTGGACCGAGGTGTACGATGGCGCCAAGCTCTTCTACCTTTCGGGCCTGCTCCATGGCGAGTACCTGCGGAACGAGGTCAAGAACCTGGGACGCTTCATCTCCGTCATGAAGTACCGGCCGCTGCAGTGGCGGGGGGCTCATAGTTACCTGCTGGTAGATCGTCTGGAGGATGTCACGAACACGGATCGCGTGCGCCGAGATCCCAAGTGCGACCGGGAGGTGGTCCTCTACGGCTATGTCCGGGGAGTCCCGCTCAAGCAGGAGCACATGGTGCACATTGCCGGACTGGGTGACGCCCGCATTGATGAACTGAGCACCATACCCGATCCATGTCCCCTTCCGGGCACCGAAAAAAAGCGCAGTTTGCTGGAGAAGGAGCGTTTGCTTTACGCCCCCATGTCCGGTGTGGGTGGCATTGTCTACGACAAGGATGCGGTGTACATTGAACTGCAGGGCTCGCATTCGCACAAGCAGCAGGAGCAGACCGCAGAAGCAGCCGAGCAGGCGGAACTGGTCGGCAAGCTGATCGACAAGAAGGCCACCATCGACGAGCAGATGGAGCAGCAGGAGTTCCGTCTCTTCTCGGATGGCCAGCCCATCAAGTCCAAGGATTTCCGCAACGATCAGGACGACGAGGAGGAGGAGGAGGAAAGCAGCGATGAAGATGAAGAGGGAGAGGGAGACGATTCTGGTTTGGATGCTGCTGGCAGTGAGGATGAGCAGGATGAGTTCGATGCGGACGATTGGCGGGGCGAGAACAGCGAGGAGGAGGAGGAGGATCCTGAAGACTCCGATGCAGCTTCATCGGGCGACGAGGAGTATCAAAGTCTGGGCAATGTGAAAACGGGCCACGAATCCGATTCGGAAGATGAGGAGGCCCGCGTTCTGGCCAGCAATATGAGCTGGAAGACAAATCTGGCCCAGAAGGCGCGCGATGCCTTTCTCCAACGCCATTCGGAGTCCAAGAACCTGATGCGCCTTGTCTACGGTGTTTTCAATCAGAGCGAACGCAGTCGCCAGGAGGCGGAAGCAGACGACAACGAGGACTCTGAGGAGGAGCTGGGTGGCCTCTTCCGTGTGGCGGCAAAGAAACAAACCCAACAGCAATCAGACAAGGACATCCGGGACAAGGACGAGCGGTGTTTCTTTGAGTACCAGGGTGGTAAGTAGCCGAATGATTCTCCTTTCAACATGAATATATATAAAAGGCTTCCCCATTTTTAGATGCCACTCGCGATTGGTTGGCGGAGGAAAACAAGGAGCTGATCAAGAACTGCTTCGTTACCGGCAAATGGAAGGCCAGCGAGGATGCAGAGAATCTACTGAAGATGGACGACATGAGTGACGCCGAAAGTGAGGTGTACGGCGACTTTGAGGATCTGGAAACGGGCGAGCAGCACAGCGGCAAGCCCAAGGCAGAAGATGGCGGGGAATCGGATGAGGAGAGTGCGAAACCCGAGGAGTCCGCCGCAGCCAAACGCAAACTGACCCGCGTGGAGGAGGAAAACCTTACCAAAGCAGAGCTCATGGCGAAAAAACTAAAGCTGAAGGCCAAGTTCGATGCGGAGTACGACAACAGTGGCGAGGCAAAGGGCGAGGAGGACACTGGTCGCATCACCGGCGACCACTCCTTCTACGAGGACCTCAAGGCCGAGGCTCAGCGCCAGAGCGAGCTGAACAAAAGCGAATTTGCCCACCTGGACAATGAGTTCCGCATTCAGATCGAGGGCTATCGACCGGGTCTGTACGTGCGTTTGGGATTCAAACAGCTCCCCGCCGAGTTTGTGGAGAACTTCGATGCCAGCTATCCGGTGCTGGTTGGAGCCCTAAACTTGACCGAGGAGAACGTGGGCTACGTCAACTGCAAGGTGAAGAAGCATCGCTGGTACAAGAAGATCCTCAAAACTGGAGATCCTCTGATCATATCGATGGGCTGGCGCCGCTTCCAAACGGTGGCCATCTATGCCAAGGTGGAGGACAACTTCCGTCAGCGCTACCTCAAGTACACACCCAACCACGTCACCTGCAGCATGACCTTCTGGGGTCCTATTACCCCGCAAAACACCGGTTTCCTAGCCCTGCAGACCGTGCGCCAGGACCAGGAGGAGATGCGTCGACTGGGCTTCCGCATAGCGGCCACTGGCTGCGTCACCGAGCTGGACAAGTCGTCGCAGATCATGAAGAAGCTCAAGCTGGTGGGACATCCGTTTAAGATCTACAAGAAGACGGCCTTTGTGAAGGACATGTTCAACTCCTCGCTGGAGGTGGCCAAGTTCGAGGGCGCCAAGATTAAGACGGTCTCCGGAATACGTGGGCAGATCAAGAAGGCTCACCACACGCCCGAGGGTTCCTACCGCGCCACCTTCGAGGACAAGATCCTGCTGAGCGACATCGTCTTCTGTCGCACCTGGTTCCGCGTGGAGGTGCCCCGTTTCTATGCTCCAGTGACCTCGCTTCTTCTGCCGCCGGAGCAGAAGAGCCAATGGCAGGGTATGAAGACGCTCGGCCAGCTCAAGCGGGAGCGGGCCGTCCAGAATGACGCCCAGCCGGACAGCATGTACACGGAGGTCGTGCGCAAGAAGAAGATCTTCCGGCCTCTCAAAATTCCGAAGGCGCTGCAAAGGGCGCTGCCGTACAAGGACAAGCCCAAGCTGGGACCGGAGGAGCCCAAGGCGGCACTGGAACGCGTGGCGGTGGTCAACTCACCGTACGAACAGAAGGTGGCCAAGATGATGAAGATGATCGAGACGAACTACAAGGACAAGCGGCATCGCGAGCGCGTGGACATGAAGCAGCGGATGAAGAACTACCGCGAGAAGAAGCGCGAGAAGATGGCCTCGAAGGAGCGGCGCCAGAAGGAGCTGCGCAAGAAGGTATCGCGGGCCATCAGTAAGATGCGGGGAAAGAAGTCGTCCTGATTGGGCTTGTAAGCTGGTGAAACTAACGAGAAATCGTATGTATGGAAAGTAGTTGTTGGACAATTCTTAGATATTTTGCTGTATAAAATATAGATAAAACAAAATAAAATGTTTTTAATGTAAGGAGCCGATTGCAAACTCTACTTCTTCCGATAGAATAGCCAACACAATTACATTTTTATTACAATTTACTCAACGTCCGGGCTGCCGGCGCTGGAGCAACTGCATCGACCGCTGGATCCCATTGCTGTTGGCCAGCGACCGATGCAGCTGCTCCAGCTGCGCCGGAAGCACCGGTCTCAGCTTGAAAAATATATTTATATATATATATGTAACTCAACACCGCTTAGGGACTAACTTGAACTGGACATGGGTGGAACTAACGTGGTGTAATGTAGCCTAGTCCTGGCTCTTGTTGTTGTCGTCGATCGTCTTCAGGGCGGCCAAGAGGGCGTGCTTGCGGCTGCCGGACATGTGGCTGCTGGCCGCCGCTCCGCCGGCGATGCTGTTCCGCTTCTTGGGTGCCGGATCGTCGCGCATGTTGCTGTTGCTCGCCTGCCGGCAGAACGTCTTCAGGAAGCTCTCGCGCTCCTTGTAGTCATCCGAGATCTGCTTCCGCAGGCTGGACATGTTCTCCTTGAGACGCGGCGCACGCACTCCGTTGTCCTGCGACTGGAATAGGGCTTTAGAGGATTAACATTTGAAGTGGATTATAGGGGGGAGTACTAACCTCCTCGTCGCTGCGCTCCGTGTGCTGACCATCCGTTGCCTCGTCCTCCTCCAGCGACTCCTCCAGCAGATCGCCCTCGCTGCTTTTGGCGTCCAGATAGGCGGCGTATTTCACCAGACTGGCTTCGTTGGCATTCTCCTCGCTGTCCTCCTCCGGCTCGTCGCCATCCTCACACATCTTATTCATCAGGCCGTAGGCATCCTGCTCATCATGGTCGTCGTCGCCAGCCGGCTCATAGTCATCCTCGTACTCGTACTCCAGCGATTTCAGCGATTGCTGTTTCTTCTTGGCCTCGGCGGGTGCCATTTTGGACAGGTTCTCCGGATCACGACGCTTGCTGGCCTGAACACTCTCCGTTTTGAGAGCTCCACTGCCCAGGCGGGATCGACCAGCTCTGACCGAGGACACTGGTATCTTTCCCTGGGCCGAGAGCACCTGGCACAGAGCGGAACGACTGGGGTTCTTCATCTCCATCTTGGCCTTGTTGGTGGCCGGCGGCAGGACGAGCTTACCGCCACGCCCACCCGCCTGTCGCTCCACTTGACTGGGCGGAGTATTCGGCCCACTCTTGTCCTCCGCACTGTCCTTCTCGAAGTCGTAGAACGAATCCGACTCCAGCACATCGGTCAGGGCGTTGAACTCGCTCTGGCTGTTCTTCTCGATCGCTTTGTCCAGCATCTCCAGCGACTTCTCCAGCTTGTCGATCTTGTCCGGCTCCTCGGCCACGCCGCTCAGCTTGGTGCGTCGGCCAGCGGACATGGGGTTCACCTTGTCGGTGCCGAGCTAAGAAATTTAAAAAAAGATTACAATATAGTTTCATATATACTATATCTTCTAGTTTAACGCACAGTGTACTCCTCCAGCTTCCGATAGCCACTGATCTCGAGCTTGGCCTTCTCCAGCTTCAGCATCACCTCCTTGCCCTTCTTCTGCTCGTTGAGCAACTGCTGGCGGAAGTTCTTGGACTCCAGCTGCACCTTGCGGGCCATCAGCTTCATGTCGTTGTCCTTGTCCTCCAGACGCTGCTCTAGTGACTTTAGCTTCTCCTGAAGCTTCTGACGTTCGTCGAGGTTCCTGGAAAAAAAATGTTCATTAACATTACTTAATAACTTAAGATATGACAAAAAAAAAAACATGGAATTGAACTGCAATTATTTGTTCATTAAAAAAAAATGGGAAATGGCAAAATAAATTTCAGTGAAAGTTAAGTATTTAACGTTTATAATGATACGGATAAAGGGTAAACATCATTAATGTAACATTTTTGTTTTTGATAGTGTCTTATTGGTATTGTTCTGATTTGATAGCATTAAGTATATAGTTTTAATGGGAATTTCAATACCAAATCGCCTTAAATCAAGATGGCAACATACATTTCTTATTTTCAAATTAAAAGTAAATAAACAAAAAGTTTTTAAAATATACAAAAATAAAAATTCGCAAAACAAAAGAAATTTGTGTATCTAAAATAAGTTTTTTAAATATTCTTAATTGTTAGAAAATCCAGATAAATCTATTCACTGTAACGGAAAACACTAGAGTTTTGAAAAATCTCTTTTAAAAGAAATGTCAGAAAGTATGCAACAATATATTTTGAGTTCGGAAGTACAATGGATTCATTCCGAAAGACGACCTTTAGTTTTTCACTGCATACTTTTAGGCACTTTAAAAAGGCACTTTTTAAAAGCCTAATGATTTGCGATTCGAACTAATCACATACTTATCCTTGTTGAGCTGGCTGTAGTGCTTGTTCTGATCGCTCAGCGACAGGATGATGGCCTCCTTCTGCTTGAGCTTGAGCTCCAGATCCTTGTTGACGGCCTGCAGATTGCGGTACTTGGTCTGCCAAACGCGCAGCTCCTCGGCGTGCGAGTGGAGCAACTGCGGCAGCTCCGCGTTGTTGGACTCGTACTTGTTCAGCGCCGTGGTGTGACGCTTGTGGAGGGTGCGCAGCATGCGGTTCTCGTGCGCCAGATTGGCGATCTCCGCATGGGCATCGGCCAGTTGGTTCTGGAAGGTCTTGGCGCGCAGCTTCCTGGCGGACTCGACCCGCTGGTGGATCTCGCTGTGGTTGTGGGACGACATCGCCGGCTGGCTGCTGCCCTTCATTCCGCCACGTTGTTGCGGTTTGCTTCGCTGGTAGATCAAACTGGCCGATTCCCGGGAGCTGGCCGAGAACAGGCTCTCACAGCTCTTTGCCGACGCTCTAAAAATAAAACCCCCCAAGGGGGGAGGGTGGTATTAAATGGGGGTGCTTTCCCAAAAGGTGAACTCTACCCACGCCATCAGATTGTTCGCTTCCAAGCGGGGTGCTCTTGGACCGTAGGACGATGCCGGCTTGCGCGGCGATACCATCTAAGATCCTGCCGCTGCTCCGGAGGATATCACTGAGGTAGCTGGTGATGAAGCTGCTAATTTTTCGGAGGATGTTTGGTTAGTGTGTGTGGGAACGATGGAGAGCCGGTGCGAGGCGATGTCGAAATATAACTGAAAACCGAGTGCCTGCTGCTGTGGTTACGCCTGATGTTTGATGTTTGTTTATTGTTTGCTCGCCGACTGCTGCGTTCTTGGTTGTTGGGGTTAATTCTGGATTCGGGGGACCCTGGAACTGGTTGCCATGACGCCACCGATTGTCAGTCTATCGATGGGGGAATCGAGCACTTAGTTGGATACAAAAAAAAACAGTTAAGACGTCCTTAGACAACTTATCTATTTTTGTTTTCAAATTAACATTTCTTATAAACTAAAACCTTTTTCTATTATATATGCGATAAAACATATTTCTTTAAAAATTTCTCATTTTTTCAAAAGGCCAAAAGGATGAAGCTTCTTTGCAGTTTATTTGGTAATTGATGTAAAATAAACACTAGAGTAAAAACCTACATCAGAGGTTAATCAACGCTGCTCATTGAGTAGTTTGGCCTTCAACTCCTCGTATTTGATGCGGTAGACTCCCTCGGGATCGTAGATCTTCTCCAGGCGCTCCCAATCTGAGGGTCGGTTGTCGATGAGATGACGGGTAACCTTTTCAGCTCCATATCTCTGCTTCTCCGTGCATTTGGTGCAATCGGTTTGGATTGCGTCGGGAAGGATTTCTGCAGAGGATTTTTTGAGTAATACCCAACAATATTGCTGGACTGCGACTTGGACTTACCCTTCAGCATCTTGGCATCGGGAGTGCAAGGACCCGTACCCTCCAGGCACTTGATGTAGTTGATTAGCAGCCGCTCTTGGTTGAGGATCTCGTCCAGATCCACATTGTCGAACTTGTCGTCGTAAGCCTTTTCCACCATGGGTGCCGATGAGGTGGCCGGCGGATGGGGCAGTCCATCCACTTGGTAACAGGCGGCGCAGATCAGTGCAACCACCAGCGAGGTGTTCCACATGGCCAGGCGAAAACTGGAGTGTCCCATTTTCGAATCGATCGTATGCTGCTAGCCGTATCCAAAACCCGCGCTTTTATACGGGCTACCTTGCGTGTCTCCGTCCAATTTGGCCACTTACCAATTGAACTCAAATTAACTGAATTCAATTTGATTACCTTGAGCCCATCGGGCAACAGGCATCAGAGGTTGCGGATTAATTCCTGACGGAATTTTTTCAAACAAGCGTTCTAGGTCATGTGGTACTAAACTAACTACCTCGACAGTATGACGAAAAATCTGAGTAAATAATAGAGCCCTGCTCTAAGTGAAGTCACAGTTCCCTACCTACATATTTTTAAGTCATAGCTCAGTGGCTAGGTTTATACATATAGCTTTGATCTTCTTGATTCATTAGAAATGTTTCAGCTTAATCAGGTTCAGCTTAAGTAGCTTAACAAGTTTTTCGCAGTAGTAGTATTCTAACTTTCCTCTCCAATTGTGCTAAAGTATTCACGGCGTTGTGTTAAGATAGTGGATTGAGCCATTTAAAGGTGTTTGATAGGATTTACTCGAGGCTTTTTTAAAAAATGTAAAACATAAAATTAAATTATGAAACCACTAAGAATGATAACTTTGTTTGAAAATGGTAAATATAGGTAGCTAATTCCCAGATCATTAATAAGAACTCAGATATAATTTTAGGTAGATATTTAAATCCGTCACACCTACACCAATCAAAGTTAAATTCAATTTAAAACAAATCAACTAATTTTGAATTTTAAATTAGTGCGCGCCAAAAGTTAATTTTGCCGATCATGGCAAATTCCAGATCATCGGACAACAACATATGGTTTTTTTGTTCTAAGTCCGCTCTGGTCACACTGCGCAACGAGTTCGCTGCGGCGCTTTCTTTTTCAATGGACTAAATTTTCTTTAATTGCTCTATTTACGCAAGTGCAACGAATCGATGCAATCGCCCGGATCCGGAAATATTGCGGCCCTGGCAACGCGATCGCAGTAGATTTGCGACCCGTGGATTGCGTTACAGTGCGGGAAATGCAAATTAGACGACCATCTGGGCGGCGATCGGTGGAAAACTCTTGATTTTACAGTGGGCGCTCCGCCAAGGACGACCTAGAAAGGCCAGAGCAGCAGAAGCAGAAAGTAGCACAGGTGACATCACCACACAACGAACCATGATCCACGTCGGCGAGAACTCGTGGAAGCTCCGGATCTTCATCACGGATCTGGCGCTGGAGAAGGAGATGCGCGTGCGCGGTGACCAGCACATTGGGGGCATCATGCTGCAGCTGGTGGATCCGGAGAACCCCAAGGACTGGTCGGACCACGCCCTCTGGTGGCCAGCCAGGAATGTGTGGCTGAGCAGGACGCGACTCACCCTGGACCAGTGTGGTGTCCAGGCGGACAGCCTGCTGCACTTCACGCCCATGCACAAGATACTGCGGGTGCAGCTGCCGGATCTGCGGTATCTGGACTGCCGCGTGGACTATTCCGTGAAGACCTTCGCGGCGGTGGTCAATCTCTGCAAGCAGCTGGACATCCGCCACCCCGAGGAGCTCTCCCTGTGCAAGCCCCTCGAGGCGGAGCACCTGAAGCGCAACTTCGCCCAGGTGCCGCACCAGAAGCGAGTGGCCATCGCCGAGCCGGATGGCACCACCTACCTGCAGCCGGCCGCAGACACCAACTCGTTTGTGCCCATCAGCACCTCTTTCCATGGGGATGGCGGCAGCACTGGCAGCCTGGACAAGCCCTCTGCCCCGGGATCCTTCTTCTGCGCCCCCCTCTCGCCGCACAATCACAGGGGACGCTCGCCAGTGGCGGCCCCAGCCTCCCCATCGCCGGGCACCTGGAAGCAGAGCCAGCTGGGCTATGCCACCTATGATTCGTCCTCTTCGAGTCTGGGCGACTTCCAGGAGAACCTGGCCAGCTCACCGCCCACGCCCTGCTCGGATGTGCGGGCCCTGCAGCTGCGCCCCAAGTCGCTGGTGGAGAAGGCCCGCCTCAATGTGGGCTGGCTGGACTCGTCGCTGTCCATCATGGAGCAGGGTATCCGGGAGTACGACACGCTGTGCCTGCGCTTCAAGTACTTCACCTTCTTCGACCTGAATCCCAGGTGCGACCAGGTGCGCATCAACCAGCTGTACGAGCAGGCCAAGTGGAGTATTCTCAACGAGGAGCTGGACTGCACCGAGGAGGAGAGCCTGATGTTCGCCGCCCTGCAGTTCCAGATCAACCATCACGTGGACGCCACGCCCCAAGGCGGAGCCGTGGACTCGGGCATTGAGACGTCCAGCCAGGAGAACGACAACGACGACGAGATTGATTCGGCCCTCAAGGAGCTGCAGATCACACTGGAGGGACCGAATGGTGGCGCAGATCACATGAACATCACACGCATCCCCGAGCTCTCCGACTACCTGCGGTATCTGAAGCCGCAGCGGTTCACGCTGCGCGGCTACAAGCGCTACTATTTCACCTACCGCGATCTGCATTTGCATTTGTTCAAGAGCGCCGAGGAGTCGCGCCGTGCGGCTCCGGCCATCAGCATCAACCTGAAGGGCTGCGAGGTCACCCCGGATGTGAACCTCTCGCAGGGCAAATACGCCATCCGGCTGGAGGTGTCCCCGAGCAGTGGCCACGGGCCCAACAGCGAGGTGTGGGTGCGCTGCGAGAACGAGCAGCAGTACGCCAAGTGGATGGCCGCCTGCCGGTTGGCGGCCAAGGGAAGATCCCTGGCGGACAGCTCGTACGAGAGTGAGGTGGATGCCATACTCTCGCTGCTGCAGATGCAGCGACCCGTGCACGGCGTGCACGTCAACATCGATCCGCGCTCCGTGGAAGCAGCCGACTACCTGTCGCCCAAGCTCCTTCGGAGACTGTCCAACAAGGCAGTGCAGCGAATCCTCGAGGCACACGCCAATGTTCGGGAACTCAATCCTTTGGAGTCCAAGCTTAAGTACATCCAGGCTTGGCGGTCGCTGCCCGACTTCGGAGTCTCGCTGTTCATCATCAAGTTCGACGGGCATCGGAAGGAGGAGCTGCTGGGCGTGGCCCACAACCGCATCATGCGCATGGATCTGAGCTCTGGGGATCACATCAAGACCTGGCGCTACAACACCATGAAGGCCTGGAATGTCAACTGGAACATTAAGTGCATGATGGTCCAGTTCGAGGACGAGAACGTGGTCTTCTCCTGCCACTCTGCCGACTGCAAGGTGGTGCACGAGTTTATCGGCGGCTACATCTTCATGTCGATGCGCTCCAAGGACAACAACCAGACCCTCAACGAGGAGCTCTTCCACAAGCTCACGGGCGGCTGGTCCTAGGACTCCATTGGACTCGAATTCGATGGCAGCCAGTTTCAAGTGTTCGAGTTTTGTAAGGAAAAACAAACGTTTTTATTGTTAACCAACTGATAGACTCACAACTTCAACACGTGTATTTACGGTCATTTTACCTTTTAATTCGTTGTTAACTAATCTTGTTGATGATTTTTAGCCACGAAAATCGCTTGCCAGTGGCCATTTAGCCTGCCCAACTCTTTAACAGACTTAACTGTGGCCTTAGCAATGTTTACAATGACTAACTTTTAAGTGTGTAATAAATAAATAAAACCCTACCAGATTTAAACAATTCAATTCATGGGATTCGGAATTATTACAGGATTTTTTGATATAATTAAAATTGATTATACAAATAATTGAGATGCTATTGCTCATTCTTTCCTATTAAAAATTTGAATTTCGCGCCGATTAACAATATTGTATCGTGAAGCTTTCAAACATCGATAGACCCCATTGATACTTTGACAATCGCCCAGTGCACATCTCTGACTTGGCGCCAGCTTTGTTGAATTGTCATGGAAACAAAAGTTACATATTAACATTGATTTACCACCAAACTACAGCATCTAAATCAAATTAAGTGTCCTCCACCTGAGCTACATGTGATCATTGTGGGCTTAGCCTGGAATTGGCCATCCTGGGACATGGAAAATGCAGAGGAAAAGCCTATTTCCCGCACGGCCTACGAAGTGCAAAGGGATTTCGGCTTCAGCAGCGGGCTACGTTCGGAAATTATTTGGGATTCGTATGTTATGCAATTGTCCATTGTAATGTAGTTTAATTTATGTATACGAACAACTTCAGATTAGCCCCCGACCAGGGAGATGTGCTCAAGCAGAAGATAGAGAACATCATTCGCGGGGAAGATGCCGGAAATACGAGAGCAGTGCAACGAAGGCGGGAGCAACTTTTCCGGAATATCTGGCAGCAGCGGCGCTACACCAATGGCACACTGCTGTCCGCCATCATCTACGTGCTGGTCACGCAGGAAGCGGACCCGGAACTGGCCTTGCAGTCCACCAACTACAGCTGTCATCCGGTTTTCCGCACGCGGCGCTGCATGAAGGGCGAGAATAGCGCCGCCTGCTGCATGATCTTCGTGGACGAGAACGCTCGGGTGTACTCCAATTGGCAGCAGTACGTCTTGCGGAACACCTTGCCCAAGGGCCTGATGATTGCCCCCAGCCAGGGAGTCTACACCTTCCACACCGACGGCGATGAGACGAGCGTCCACTTGATGGTTCATCCCACGCCTGCAGCGCGTGGTAGGTACAGATTGCTCAATGCCGGCGACAAAGTGGCCACTGTGGGCGGCCTGGTGGCCAGTGTTCCGGTGGCTGCCGCTCTGGCCGTGCCCCTGGCCAGTCCATTGGTCATTGCCGCCACCGCTGTGGGCGTGGCCACCGGCGTCTACAGCACCCTGCGCTCGGCCTCCCATCTCATCGATCGGCGCCGGCATGGCCAGTCCACCTCCATTACGGATGGTGAGGCGCGCAGCTCCTGGTTGGGCGTGGCGGGCGGAGTGGTTGGTCTGGGCTCCACCGGAGCCACCAAAGCCCTGGCCACGGCAGCAGGTGCTGGCTACAAAGTTAATCCCGCTGCCCAGTTGGCCGTCAAGGGAATAAATGGAGCTTCAGTGGTCATCGCCGGAACGGGTGTGGTCAATGGTGTTTACGATTTATATTTGGTAAGTTGGTTGCATCGAACAGAGTTCCTCTTAGGTTCATTTTTTTGTCTTCTCTTTAGAAAATTGGCGATGATCAGGCCCTAAACAGCTTGGACATGCTGCAGATGGCCTCGCACCTGGTCATCTTTACGCATTCCATCAACAACATGCGCATAGCTTCCAAAGCCACCAATGGCTCGTCCTTGAGACAAGCACTTCGCAATCAATCTAGGTATCGTCATTACTTTAACCTAACGCTTAGCTTTAACTAATCCATCCTGACTGAACAGAAAAGTCTTCGATCGCATCTCCCAGGAGTCCGTTAAGCTGCACAGTGAAACTGGCCAATTTGATATTGTGCGCACGCTCAATGAAATTCCCTTTAAGGAGGTACTCCTCAGCCTGCACAACATCAACTCACATCTGAATCAGGGACTCGCAGTGGCCACCACCTTGCTGCCCCAAATTGTGAGTCTGGGCAGTGGGGGTCAGATACTCGTCAATCTGGAGATGCTTGCCGAGAAGTTCGGCGGGAAGTTCGTGCAGCACATCGGAAATGTGGCCAGTTTCACCGACGTTTTGGAGGCCATGGCCAGATACTTCAGCGAGCAGGCAGTGCAGTTGCTTATGGAAATGACCCGCACTTTTGTGGATCAGAACGTGGACTCCATTGATCGCACGCTGAACACGTTCGTGTCCACGGAGACGGTTCTCTATCGCATTCTGATGCACTGCGTCACAACCTTCGACCGTTTTGGAGAGGACTTCCTGCAGAGCTGCCGCGAGGATATCTTGTTGGTGGTGTCCAAGTACTTTCAGTCACTGGAGCCGATTAGCGACAACTGCCGCAAGTACAAATGCTCTGTTTGCAAAGGCGCTTACTATATTAGTTCCATTTAAGATCATTCTTTAATGCGACCTTAGGCTTATTTATTATTTCATAGTGTTGCGTTTCCGCTTATCAGGTTAGATTTATGATTTCTCGAAAAGAATAGAAGTACCGATTTTGTAGTTCCTGGTCTCTCGAAATTCTATGTCTTTTAGTTTGAAAATAATATTTGGTTAAATATCTTGTGATTCCTAGTTTGCTATAAAATGAAGCTTTGTCATTGATTTAAAATAGTAATGATCTCTTCCGAGCTTTTCAAGCCTACATTTAAGATTCATATCATAATGTTATTTCAAATTAGGCTCCAATGACTGTGTATCATCCAAGCAGAATGAGCTGTGAGAATCTCTGGATAATTTTTGTAATAGTTGTATATGTTTTTACGATGTAACCTCTATAAAAACTACTTTCGATTAAGATAATCAATTGCCGTATTCGATGGTTTATTCACATGGTATCTAGGCGTATAAATACTGTATATGAACTTGTGTCCCCTGCAGTGGGCACACGTAAGGTACTCTATAAGAGTGAGCGCGACTTGTAGAACGTACATCTATGACCTAGGCCTAACTTAAGCTATGGACGGAGTTAGGACAACGCTGGAGCTCCTCTAGCAGAAGAATTCCTCCTCGCACTGGTTGTAGCAGCAGTAGGGGATGTTGTTGTAGCTCCGGCCCGAATGATCCCGCTTGAATCGCTGCTTCTTGTCGTGGTGCAGCTTGTTGGGCTTGTAGCGCGGGAAGATGTCCAGTTCGCTGAGGCGGTTGAAGTGCTCCCGCGTCACCTTTAGATAGCCACCCTTTGGGTAAGTGCTCCGGCTGATTGAATGGTGCTTGTTGTGCGTTTTGCCGTCTGAAAAAAGTCAGGGGAAAAGGGGGGAAACGAGTGAGCGAGTGAGCAAATCGATCTTGAACCTGCGCCTTGAAATCGGTTAACTGTTGCATCGGAACTGCTTTATGCAAATGCGAACATTAATTCCAATCTACACACTTCAAAAACGTGTTTTCTGTGTGCAGTTCCGAATGCAATTGTCAGGTTGACTGACACTCTGACCTTATTTAGTTGCTAATTTAATTGCCTGTTCTTTTCCTTACAGATCTACAGACTATAACTTTTACAAGTTTTAATCAAATCAAATATTAATAGCTTAATAAGCTTAAAGATCTAGTTAGATACTTACATCCCAGTCGGTTTAGATGGTGATGCGGGTACTCGATGGATCGCCTGTCGCGGCTGGAGGCTTCGTCCTGCTGGAACAGGTGCTCACACGCCTCCATCGCGAACTTCTTCATCCCCTCCAGGGAGCAGTAGCTGCCCGATGTGCTGCCCAGCAGGCAGCAGACTCCGAGGACCAGCAGCGTCCAGCGGCACAGATTGAACTGCAAGGGAGGAGCAAGTGCATAAAACAACTGTGAGTAAGGGGTTCCAAATTAAACACCCAACCGGCCTCCGGCAACTAATTATAAATCGCTGACGCTCAGAATTTATCGCATAAGTGTTACAACGATCCTCTAACCGGCTGCACTCTGCTCTGCCATCTGATCTGATCTGAATCTGAATCCAAATCTGAATCTGGATCGCTTTTATGTGGACCTTTGGGCCGAATGTGGATAAACCACTTTGGCTGACGACAGCCGGGATGTCGAGATGTCGGGATGACGTCGCCAAATCCCACGCACTCGATTATGCGGCCATTAATTGGGTCAATATCGAGTCAAGATCGAAACATAAACTGGAGCGCATTTGCAAGTCGACGCGGCCAAATGGTAAAATTTAATTGCCGCTTTTAATGACCGAAACTTCCCCGACATTACAGAGCAGAAGCAGACCTGGAGTGGAAATTATGTAATGCGCCTCGCAGGTAGGCATTTCCGCATTTTGCGGTGACACTCTGTTCACCACTCGCTCCAATATAAATCTGAATCGAAATCGAAATCGGAATCGGTTCGGGCATTAGCATTATGCTTGAGCCAGTGGAGAACAAAAGCGCATTTGTTTATATTGATATTTTTAGCTGACAGCCTGTTAATTGTACACACCCACTTTTGTATTCGTCAAGCTAATTTAAGTAATTAAAGTGGAGTTTTCTTAGAATTTTTACTTTTTTTTGTATAGAATTAATGTTTAAATATTATTTTTATTATTACATTGGCAACTCCTTAAATGTCTTGGTATCAAATATGATATTGAAACATAATGACAAAATAGGTTTTAATGTTTTTAAAAGCTCTGTAAAAAATTAAGTTGAATGATTAAGTAGTTTTTCTATAAATCAATTATTTAAATCACATTAAAAACTTTTAAATCATTCTTAAAAATTCTGAATAATCATAGCAGGGATCAAAATCAAGCGACTTCTTCAATGTTTTTAATTTATTAATTAATTTAATTAACGTCAACTCACCTTTAAACTCATTTTAATTCCGTTCTAGGATCACAGTTTTGATAGCGACGTAACAATTTTCCTCCAGGCTGCAACACTACGTATACGTGTTTTTTTTTTTGTTTTGGCGGGCAATTCGAAAACTGGCTGCGTATGAACCCGTCCGATCGACGTTACCTGATATTCACGAGTGGCGAGCGCACAATGAAAGCTCACCCGACACCGCTTAGCTTTTATACGCGCTTCAAAAATCGAGGATCGCCGCTTCGGATCGGCTCAGGTTGACTCTTACTCGGCTTTCCCAGGTTCTCGACTGCCCTGTCGCTCTTCGAGGCCAATTTAAATAGGGGGTGAGAGAGCAGCTCGGTTTCGGGCTCGGACTCGGGATTTTGCAGGAGTTTTGCGTAAGCGGCGGCAAGGCGCGCCAGGCATTCAGAAATATATATATTATTTCTTTTTTTTATCAATGGAGTGCGTTTGGGAACGGACGTCAGACTTTAAGAGTTGGCTTTTATATGTAGTTCCATGGCGCCGCCGCCTCCAAGACATTACGAATTTCAACATAATTGTTTGGGACCCTGTGAGTCACTGCCAGCCACAGGCTGTGTGCTGCTCTTGACTAAGATATATGGCCAATACGCACACAGTCTGCGGTCTTATCAAAACACCTTGGCCATGTAACAAGGTAGTAATAGTAATAGATTGTTGCGAGGGTCGTCGGTGACGGTGAAAGTTCCACCTAGACTGGGACCTTGTTGCCGGGGGGTTTTCCAACCAGGGCAACGCACTTTTTGATAAGTACAGTATGCTGACACATAATAATCATTTATTTATGGGCATCCATAAATATGATTAGTAGGTCCACATAATAATTTAAATTTTAGCTGGAAAGATTTTAAAATTGACATTTGTCCCCCGAATGTTTTTTTTTTTTTATTAGAAGTGCATTAAAATTAGTCAAATCAAGACAATTGGGTTTTTACTTGCGTTTATAAAAAAAATTCCATTAAGAAAGAACCAAAATGTTGATATTTTCTATTTTTAATTTTTTAATTTATTTCATACATCCCCAAAATGTCAAAATTTTAAAAGTGATAGTTCTTCAGTAATTGAAACTAAAACCAAACACATAAAATGCGGCTTTAAGTGGTAAGTTATTGATTGCTGGAATAGTTATCTAATCTTTTCAGATTATTGTTGTTTAAGTTAAAAATCCACCAAATAAAAATTTTTTAAAATATTTAAAAAAGAATGTTTTTGATTCAGTGAAACATTCGTATATCAAATACACACTTTGAGGTGTTGGATTCTAAGGAGCAGGAAATTGTTAGCTTTTTGACTTTCTAACTTTGATTAAAAAAAACAAAATTTTGACACACTTTTTAAAAATAATTTAGGTGTCTAGCCCTGAAATAAGAACAACATTTAATGCTACAAGCACTGCTGTTAAGTATAGTATTGTAGGAATCTTTAATATTTGTTTGCATCGCGCCGAATAAATAATTTTACCTTTTGTGTGGAAACATAAAACAATAAAATTTCAGGTTCCGAAAACAATTGAAAGCCGAATATATTTCAGAGCTTAAGAAATGCATAAATTGGTGAATAAATATTATTTAAATTCTCTTACCGCTGTATTACTTGAGTTGACATAACATTCTTAAGTAACAGGTTCTAGAAGAGTAAAATGTTTATCCAAAACGATATTACCAAACGGTTTTAGACGTTTTAACAATAACTTTTGATGCAGTTCATGATTTAAAGTATTAAAATGTAACTCCAAATAGGGTAAGTTCTCAGTTTTTAATAAAATACCATTCTGGCTTACTGGTATTCTTATATGCAAGGTTCTGAAAAAGAGCGAAAGTGGTGCAACTTTCACTCTCGCTTTCGTTCGGCTGTCTTCGTGCGCAGCTCTCTCACTTTGAAGCACTTTCCCTTTTCCCCACCTGATTGCGTTGCAGCATCATTGGGGATTGGGGATTACTTAACGGTTGTTCTGGATCGGGCGTCATCATCGTTTGTTCTAATTTTATCAGATCACCTGCATTACGTTCTTTTGGGTATTTTTAGCCGCTCTCTCGGTCAATGCACACTTTCGGCCGACTTTTTTATGGGTTCAAATCGTTACGTTTCAGTTTCGGTTTCAGTTTCAGATTCGTTTCAGTTTCGGTTTCGTTTTATTTATTCGCTTTCGTTTCGTTGCATTCCCGCATGCGGAAATGTTAGCCAGCCCCCGTGGCGTATGCGCAATGCGGCGATGCGCAGTTGCATTTCCATGCCATTTCGCACGTATCCTTCGGAATGTGCATTCCCGTGCCATTCGCACATCCGATCCCGATAACCGAATTAACGGTAACGGGCACGTTCTGGGAACCCCTAATTGTGTCCGGAATGTGGGTGTGGGTAAGACTCTTCTTTTGGTATGCGGCATTTAATTGGTTCGCCACGGGCTCATTCATAAATACAATTTCACAACCTGATTTCAAGAATCGCGCCACTTGCGCCCATGTCAACGATCTCCGCCGATGCCCCTACCTGGGCATCAAATTCTCAAAAAAAAAAACCAAAAAAAAAAAAAATATTAAAGCCGAAATACAACAAATGCCAACGGAGCTTAAATCGCAAACAGGTTCTGCTTCTAATAGAATCGCAGGCCATCGACGATCGAATATTCGTGCAGTCTAGACGAGAGAATGGGCATTTGGGTCCTTTCCTTGGCAACAAGAAAAGAACAGGGAATGTCGCTCCGTCTTCCGAGAAGATCTGTTCTGAGCTGGGGACGATGGTCCATGGTCGATGGACGGACGGATGGACAACGGACACCGGAGGACCGCTGGCAGAGCGTGTGAGCTAGTGTTTTTGTTTTGATGCCCAGATCTCCTGTTCCTTGAACTGAGGGCGAAAGTGGTCCGTCACGTCATCTCCGGTGTCTGACTTTGCCGGCGGCTTTGTCGTTCACCTTTGCCATCCTCATCCAAGTCCTTCTCCTCGCGCTCTTCCTTTTTAGCTCCTTTGGCATGCCGAAGGGTTCTTCATTCGCCCCTAAGGTTCAAAAAACTCTGCGACTACCTCGCTGCGATCGCATTTCAAATTAGAAACTCTTTTTTGGGGATTTCATGGCAATAGCACATGGTCAAACAATATATTGTTTATAATACAAGGGTATACCCTTTGTTTCGGCAGGGGATTGAGGAATAGTTCAACGGATTGTATCTGTTTTTAGTAATAGTAAAACACATCTTAGGTTTATCAAAAACCTATGTCTATAAATAATAATAAAATCTGATTGGATGTAATACAATATGCAACTTTGAGGACTGTCTACGTATTGTCTCAAAACCTTTTACGAATAAAAAAACCTCAATCTTACTGACTTTAACAATTTTTAAAATTAATTAAATTGTCTGTAAGGCTTGCTTTATTCAGTCACATATTTATATACAATAAAATGAAATTAAGTTATTACATTTTATTTAACGAAAAGTTTAAAAATATGAGAATACATTTGTAAATACAAATAACATTCTTAATACTCCGATCTCCAATGTGAAGATTCTATAAAATAAACTCTAATTTTGGGCCACAAACGAAGCTTTGGCCAACGTCACATATCTATGTCGTGTAGTCATAGTGACTCATGGTTATACCATGATTATTTCGTCATGACTGTTAATGACCAAATAACAGCATAGCAACATAAATCAAGTTCGACTTAAAAAGTGGCAAAAGAAAACGGTCATAAACACTAACAATTTAAGAGACGATTGAGATGCCGCAGCACATGAGAAAGAGGCCAATTGAAATGCCCAGCAATGAAGATTTTAACATAAACACAACTCATCCTTTGTGACAATTAACCCACCAATAGATTCTGTTTTTTCTGCAACTGAAAAAATATCCTTTAGAATTTATTCCTTAAGATTTTTAGCTCGCTTCGTTTTAGTACATGACCGCCAAAGTTCAAATTTCAAAACGTTCTAAGCACCGTAGTCGATCTAAGTTAATCGATAATCGATAGAAGTTGAAATCGGTTTCTGTACATCTCCAATCAGCTGTTTTGTGCCGCATAATCCAATCCCTTACAAAAATGTTGGCTGCCCGCAGATTACTACGCAAAGCTCGGATATCCGGCGCCCTAAGCTGGTCACGATGGAGCAGCGATGCCGCCAAGGCCACCACAGAAGCCTCCACATTAGAGGGCAACGCGGAGAAGCGCCAGCAGCTGCTCAACGAACTGGCGGAACCACTGGACCAGCGGAGTCGTCCCGCCATTGATCCCAAAGAGACGACCGTGATGCTGTTCCCCGGCCAGGGCACCCAGTACGTGGGCATGGGCAAGGAGCTGCTCCGATTCCCAGGCGCCCGCCGCATCTTCGAGCTGGCCAACGAGGTGCTGAAGTACGATCTCCTCAAGCTCTGCTTGGAGGGACCACGTGACAAGCTCAATCGCACGGAGCACGCCCAGCTGGCCGTGATGGTCTCCTCGCTGGCGGCCCTGGAGCAGTTGCGCGAGGAGCGGCCCAAGGCCATCGAGACGTGTGTGGCCGCCGCCGGCTTCAGTCTGGGCGAGATCACGGCCCTGGTGTACGCGGATGCCCTGCCCTTCGACAAAGCCCTGCGCCTGGTCCAGGTGCGGGCCACTGCCATGCAGGCGGCCTGCGACCAGGCAGTCGGCGCCATGGCCATGACGCTCTACGGACCGGACACCAATCTTGGCGAGGCCTGTGCCCGTGCACAGCAGTGGTGCTTGGACAAGGGCGTGGAAGCGCCCTACTGCGGCATCGCCAACTACATGTATCCGCACTGCAAGGTGGTGGCCGGCAATGTGGAGGCCCTCGAGTTCCTGGAGCAAAACGCCAAGGCGCTCAAGATCCGGCGGATGAAGAGACTGGCCGTGAGCGGCGCCTTCCACACCCCGCTGATGCAGAGTGCCGTGGAGCCCTTTGCCAAGGCTTTGAAATCGGTGCGCCTGCAGGATCCCGTCATCAGAGTGTACTCCAATGTGGATGGCAAACCCTATCGCCATGCCAAGCACATCCTCGGCCAGCTGCCCAAGCAAATCGTGCGGCCCGTCAAGTGGGAGCAGACCCTCCACGAGATGTACGAGCGCAAGCAGGGCGTCGACTTTCCACGCACCTTCGAGTGCGGCCCTGGCAAAGGACTCGTTCAGGTCCTCGAAAAAGTGAACGCCAAGGCCGCTCAATCCAGCTTGAATGTCGCAGCCTAAACAACCCCACATAAATCTTCTGTTTGTTTTTATAAAAATGTATATTTTCTTGGCTAAAGGAAACAAAAAACGTGGGAGCTGGGTCGGCCTGGGGCGGATCCTAACTCTTGTCGTCTCGCGAGCGCATGCGATGTGCGAAGGCAGCGCCCTTGTTCTTGCGGAAGCTCTCGAAGGGATCGTGCATATTGGCACCCACGCCCTGTGTGTGAAAGTGATTAGGAATTCGTATTTTTCTTTTGTGGTTTAACAGTCCTCGCTCCATACCTTGTACATTTCACGACGATCGCGCACCTCTCCGCCCGAAATGGGCGTGTCTATGCCTTGATTCTTTGAGCCCAGTCCAGTGCCGGTGCCCGCCCAGCCCATTTTCATGAGCATTTGGTGGCCCTTGTTGGATTCCTCGATGAATTCCGGTGGCTTGGCAAAGGTGCTTCCCCTGGGAATAGCAAATACATACATATATTATTATTAACATTAGCTTACTATCAATGTATGAAAACTCTATAGTTTATATAGTTTTTCATTCTTTGCCCCTCTTTTTTCACTTACAAGAAGCTCGGAGGGGTTGGAGATCTGTCACGATCCACACGTCTTAGGTTTGGGTTGTTGCCATTGTTGCTGTTGTTGCTGCTATTCGAATTGCTGCGCTCCACTCGATTCTCCCGGTTGTTGTTCATGCTGCCGCTGTTGTTCTCCCGCTCGTGCCGAGGCGATCGATTGCGCCCCTTGCGATTGCTGCCACCGCCCCCACCTCCCATCCGGTTGCGGTTCATCGGTGGCGGCGTTGAGGAGCGCTCCACGGATCGAGATCGGGACCTGGAGCGGGAGGGCGATCTGTCGCGTTGCGGCGGCGTATTTGAGCGGGAGCGACTGCGACTCTTGGATCTAAATGAAAGATAAATAAATAAGTTTGGTATAAATAAAATTATCTATAAAACAAACACTTTTTATTAGAGACTAGTCTAGCCATATATGTACATCTGTATACTTCATTTTGTAATAATTGTTAAACAACTTCAATGTTAAGCTAGGCAAAAGAGTTTAAAAAGCAGTCAAATAACTTTAAAAGCATTGATCAATTTCAGCATTAATTTTAGACTATCAAATATAAGACCAATTTCTGGGTAACAATTTTAAACCTCCACTTGATATAAAACTTACCGATAAACTCGCTTGTTGCTCTTTTTGGGTAAAGCTTTTTCCAGCACAATTGGACTGGGCGAACGCGACTTTTGCCGAATGCCATTCTTGATTTCCTCCTCCTTTTGCTTTCGCGCCGCATTCTTCACCTTGTAGTACTCGTAGAGACCAAGCTTCTCCCAACCCTCACTGCAAAGTATCTTAATTAGTATCTCACAAGTATCTTTAACCGAGTAGTTACTTACTTATCCCGCGGTCGATCGTGTGAGGGTGCGGAATAGAAGGCGTTCAATGCATTTGTCAGCCGCTCACTTTGCGGCGCCGGAGCTGGCAATCGTATATCCGCCGGATCCAGGGACTTGTAGTTGTAGTCCTCCAGGCGGATGAGGGGCACCATCAGCCCAGCCGGCAGGTCGTAGTAAGGCGCTGTAGGTATTTGCGGCTCCCCGATGACAACGGGCTCTCCGGATTCGCCCTCGCCCAACTGCGTCTGCTGTTGGCCATCCTCCAGCGGACCGTCTTCGGGTTGATTGGTGATGACCGCTCGAATGGCCGCATTCAGCACATCCAGGTCCACTTCCGCATCAGCACTTGGCTGGCCAGGGCGCACCAGATTCTGGGGATAGGCAGCCATGGGCTGTTGCTGTTGTTGCTGCTGCTGATGCTGCTGTTGCTTCATTTGGTTTTGTCCTTGCTGCTGTGGGTCGTCGGGATGATGTTGCTGCTGATGCTGCATCTGCAGGCATGCCTGGATTGCTGCACTGAGCACGCCCAGATCAACAGGTGGCTCATTGCCAGATCCCTGGCCCTGCATTGGTGGATACTGCCCCGGTTGTTGCTGCTGCTGCTGCGGCGGCTGATGGCCCATCGGCCCCTGATTGTGATGATGCATGGGTCCGGCAAAGCCAGGCGGTGGTTTCGACATGTCCGGAATGAAAAAGTTCGGTCCTCGTGGATCCGCAAAGGGGTTACCCGAAGACTGCTGCTGTTGCTGCTGCTGATGGAAGTTACCACCTGGATACATGTTATTGCCCGCCTGAGGATGCGGCTGATCATGCGGCCCCTGATTGTTCATGTGCTCGCGGTCACCGGGCATGGCTATCCGGTGGGACATAAGCGATGGTATATTCTTCTGCTGCTGACCGCCAGGACCTTGATGTGGGTGCATATGCTGCTGCTGCGACTTCTGGGCCACCATTATCTGCTGCTCCAGGTGCTGTGACTGCTTCTCGAGTTGGGCAATCTGCTGGCTGGCATGCTGGATAAATATCTGGTGCTGTTTTTGATAGCTAAAAAAAAAACAAACAGGTTAGAGCTAACTGAATTAGATATTCTAGTAACTGGGTTACTCACTTATCCAAAGTGGCCTTTGTGTTTTGCGCGAATTTGGCGGCTATTTCGTGGTGTGTGTTCTGCAGATTGGTTTTGTACTCCTGCATGGACGAGTCCGGCGACTGGAGCTTCGAGATGACGCAGGCATCGAAGAACTTGGCCTTGGACTCCCACAGCGACAACAGCTTGGCCAACTTCTGGCGCTGTTCGTTGCTGGCAACTGTGGAATGAGATAATACTATTAAATATCCAAAACCAATGGTTCGATGGGCATATATACATACTCAAGTCGGCGCTGCAGAACATCGGTATGACGACGTTCTCGAGGCTGTTCTTCAAGTCATTGATGTTCTTGCGCATGCTGTAAATACATCGTTGCACTTAGGACTGAGCTCCTGGCTAATCTAAAGTTGTCTTGTGTCCCAGGTCAAAGGTCAGAGGTCAGGTGCGAGTGTTCAGTTCAGTCCAGACAGTTCTGTCCAAGTTGTTCGACTTAAACTAACCAACAAAGCTAGGTAACTGCTCGGTGGGTTAGTTCGTTCTTGTGTGGCCTGTGGCTTTTAAATACTATACTAATCACTAGTAGATTAACTGGGCGAACTTACCAGTGGTGGAGTATATCATTAACTAAATATATAAGATGCAATTTTTGCTGAAACGTTGAACCATTGACCAAAGCCCTAAAAATAAATTAACAAACAAAAAAACATATTTTTCTAGTTTTCTGTATGCACAACAACATTGCCAAAGGTACTTGTTGTGCAAGTATAACGATTTTTGTTAGTTGTTCTTCTTTCTTTTTGAATTTTGATTTTTTCTTTTTTTTTTTTTGACCGATAGTTTTCACTGTTTAATGTGTGTGTGTGTGTGTTGTTGTGCGTGTGAATTTGTTAGGCTTATTAAGTAAAATGATGTGTTTTGGTGTGTGACCCTAGCTACAAGACTTCCGGATCTGGGAACTAATCATGATCATAACATCTTTCGAAAACGAATCAACGAATCAATCTCGAGCCTCTCTGGGGGAGTCTCAATCGCTCAATCGCTCAATTGCTCAATCGCTCAATCGATCATCTCTGGCTTGTTTTTCGATATTTCGTTTTTGTATGTTTGGTTAGTATTTCACTCGTTGAAAGAAAGAAACACAATTTAATTAATACATGTTGCAGGTCATTAATTATAAAACTGAGGCATACTTCTTTAAAAGATATTGTAAAACGACATTGATTTTTGCGCTGTCGGTTGAATGCTGTAAAATCCAGTTCTTGCCTAAAATTGCAATATCAAACGGGTTACTCATATTGTCATTGTCACTGGCGATAATAAATTAGGATTAAGTATTAATCAAAAGGTAGTAAGTATGGATTCATTTAGTGTGTGTTTTGTGCGGAACATCAAATATCAGCTCAGCTCAGCTAAGCTCATCGAAATTAGCTTAACTTATGACTGATTACGAACGAGACTACAAACAAGCAATAATGGAATCCAGCCGAATCGCCGAACTCATATTTACCTGCAGAGATGCTGTCCTTGGTGCAGGACTCAATGATCGGCTGCAGGACGCCGTCAAAGTCCCTCAGCACAATGCCCTGTTCGCCGGCCATCTGCTCCTGCTGCGTCGTCTGTGCCGCCGCAATTGCCTCCTCGATCTGCTTCGTCTTTTGGTTCATCAGGGCCTACAGGTTGGTTTCGTTTGGTAGGTTGTTTGGTTGGTAGGTTGTTTGATTGGTTGGTTGTTTGGTGGTGCGATTTAGTTCGAATCGAATCGGATCGGATCGGTTTTGGTCATTGGGCACACAAAGGTATTTTCACATTCATATTCGCATTTGCGATTTCGTATTCAAGTCGACAAGCGTTTCAAACAAATTTGATTTTGGGATTTGTTTTTTTTTTTTGGTTTTTGATACAGTTTTTTGTCAGTTGGTATGAAGAGTGGTTTGATTGGTAATTTTTTTTTTTTTTTGGTTATGTTTCAAAAAATACAATAAAGCAAAAATTTAATGTAGCATTGTAAATGGTTAATTCAATAGTTAAAATAATTGCAAATAGAGTTTGTAGTTTGGTAATGCTGAAAGTACACTTTAACTTTATCTTATCCGTATTTGGAGATCAGGGACAGAGAAGATCGATAGAGAACAAATTGGGAAAGGGTCCGGAACAAGGATTGATATTTATAGGAAAGTGAACAATTTTTTGTGGTGTTCCCAAGATAGAAATTATTAAGATTACATTATTTCTTCTTTCTTTTTTTAGGGTTGTCATTTAAACATTAAAATTTCGTTATCTTAAGCATTCGAATTTAAATTTGAATATTTTTAGCAGGGATCGGAGTATAAACATTGGGGTGGGTCGTTTAAAGGGTTGTAAGAGCATAAATGTGTTAATTTCCAAACTATTTGTTTACTTAGGAGTTTTTTCTATGGCATAATACAAATGTATTACTAAAAAAGAGCTTAGCTCCTGCCGCAAGGGTTGAAAATTGTAAACAAAAAAAGGGCGAGAATATGTGGTAATCTTCCCTTCAAACACTTAAGTAAGTTTAAACGCTTAGAAAAGGCTCGCAAGGGGTACATAGAGTGGACCGGTCGTTGTCAACATTTAATTACCGTGTGCTGTGCGGAGAGATTCGCTTCGGATTGCTTGATCTGTTCCCGCAGCGTCTTCTGCTGCATCTTGATGGCGTCCAGTTGGGAGGTAAGATTCATGGTCATTGCATTGCCGTTGGCCTGCTGGTTGTTTGGCGGTCCTCCGTTGCCATTGTTCGGAGGCCAAGAGTGCTGCGCCTGCTGCTGTTGCATATTGTCTTGTGCGTTTTCTGGCGGGTGCTGTTGCTGGTGCTGCTGCTGGTTGGGCGGTGGATAGTGGCCAGGCGGCTGGGACTGCTGCATCGGCGGCGGATGTTGCATGTAGTGGCCGGGTGGTCCACCCGGTGGCAGTTGTTGGTTGAGGCCCTGCTGCTTGAGCACTTCAGGGGGAGAGCATGACGTTAATTTTGAGGGCTATTTTGGCTCATTGGAGTCTTTCACTTACGCGTTTGTTCCGCTGCCACCCTAAATTGGTAGTAGCTGGCAAACTCCCCGCCGTAGAGGAACTCGAATTTTGGGTTGCTCTGCTGCTTCTGCTTAGTAATGGCCTCGAATTCCGGTCCATTTCGGGCCACAAACTCCGCCAGCTTGTCTATAATATTGCGTAAACTGGCGTCTGCGAAAAGTAAGTTTTGCATAAAATTCTAAGCCTATCAAAGGTTGTGCGCGTGAGTTTGTGTGTGTGCGTGCGTGTGTGTGTGTGTAAGAATCCAACTGGACACAGCGTGAGCTTCTCTGAAAAGGCAATAAAGTCTGTTTAAGTTTTTTTACTCACCGCGTGGCGGCTGTACGTCCATATTAATGCTTTTCTTAAATACGCTTTCTTGTTAAATATCAAAATTCATCACTTTTTAGAATTTTTCAGCGGCACTTTTCACTGCGTCTTCTTCTATTTCCTAATAGTGTGCCCGCCGCTTTGCACACTCAAAATACCAAATTCTTATAGGGTCACATTAGAGATTAGTTTTTTAGTTGATAAAATTTAAAAAAAAATAATGGGAAAAGTAGGTTTACAAAAAATATAATAATAAATAGTTCTGCTAAGAAAGACCAAACAATTGAAATCTGTAAAATATAATTAATATATATATATATATAAATGAAATGTAATATAATAATAAATAATGCCGGTTGCAATAGAGCTGTCACCTTGCTTACAGCACTCAACGTTCTTTTGGTCCTCAACGAATATCGCGAAGAAATAAGTCACGCGCCCATCTCTAGTTCTAAGCTGAAAAAGCATAGTTTTCTGTGACAAGGTAAACAAACCGAAACAATACTCCTAGCCAGCGCAACTCTCAGTTCGAAATAATCTTCACGCCTGGCTGTAACTAATGGAGAATTCAAGGAGGCATGACAAATCCATTCCCTAGGCCAAGAACTCCGCGGACAGCGTGGCACTAGTTACTAAGTCGCCGTCACATAATCCCAAGATAGCCACTATATAGTTTGTAATACACACACACACACACATTCGTCGGCCGATGGGCAGCAGAATGGCAGATAGTGCAGGGAGCGTTATCACCATCAATGGTGGTCCGTCGGCGGGAAGTTCCCCGCCCTCGCAGCGGAAATCCTCGTCGTCGGAATCTCCACCGGAACTGCGAATCCTGTGCTTCGACCTCACCTTCTACAATCGCACCACCCAATTCCTGCTGAGCTGCGCGGGCGTTTTTATCCTGTACATCCTGTACGGCTACCTGCAGGAGCTCATCTTCACGGTGGAGGGATTCAAACCCTACGGATGGTTCCTCACCCTCGTCCAGTTCGGTTACTACATCGGCTTCGGCCTGGTGGAACGCCGGTTGGAGGGCTACCGGATAAGCGGTGGATCCTTTTGGAACATTGAGCCGGAGCCACGTTGCATTCCGATGAAAACGTACCTGGTTCTGGCTGCTCTCACCCTGGGCACCATGGGTCTGTCCAACTCTAGCCTGGGCTACCTGAACTACCCCACCCAGGTGATATTCAAGTGCTGCAAGCTCATTCCCGTTCTCGTGGGCAGCATCCTCATCCAAGGCAAGCGCTACGGACTGCTGGACTTTGCGGCAGCCACCTGCATGTGCATCGGACTGGCCTGGTTCACGCTGGCCGACTCCCAGATGACGCCCAACTTCAATCTGCTGGGCGTGGCCATGATCTCGGGAGCGCTGCTCTGCGACGCGGCCATCGGCAATGTCCAGGAGAAGGCCATGCGGGAGCATAAGGCGCCCAGCAGCGAGGTGGTCTTCTACTCCTACGGCCTGGGATTCGTGTATCTCTTTGTGATCATGTTGGTTACCGGCAACTTCTTTAGCGGCTTTGCCTTCTGCTTGGAGGTGTGTTGGAAAAGAACGTCGTTTGTATGTGGCATACTACTAATGTGATTCCCCTTACAGCATCCTCTGGAGACCTTTGGCTATGGCTTCCTGTTCAGCCTCTCTGGCTACCTGGGCATCCAGTTTGTGCTGGCCCTGGTGAGGAGCAGTGGGGCTCCCATAGCTGCCACAGTGACCACCGCTCGCAAGGCTGTGACCATAGCCTTTTCCTTTGTGCTCTTCAGCAAGCCCTTTACACTGCAGTAAGTGTTTCATTGTATTATATACAACCCCGAATTCTTTTTTATCCACCTCCAACTTTCAGATATCTTTGGTCTGGCCTTATCGTTGTCCTGGGCATCTATCTCAACGTGTACAGCAAGAAGAATAAGCTGACTTTGGCCGACATCCGGCAAAGATTTAAGCAGTTCGGAGCCAAGATTGCACGCTCACCGAGTCGCAAATTCCTCATCGAAGTTTAGTTTGATACCAAAAACATGATCTACATTTTAGTCGAATTGGAACAAACGTTTTCTGCAAGAAAACCAATCACTGTAATTACTTAATTATATGCTAAACAACTCCGTATGCTATCTGTCCATGTCGAGCTCCATAACGCGCTTGAAAAGATCCTGTCGCTCCTTGGCCGATGTTAAGTGACCCATGGCGCGGTCCAGGAACTGTTTCTGGTGGCTGACTATGAACTTGTTGCACTGGATGATGGTGGCCCCCACATAGAGGGTCCTAAACTTGGCCCGAACTTCTCCAATCTGGAAAAAGACTGTCATGCGGCTGGTTTAAGGGCATTGAACTAGGACCTACCAAAGTAATCAGGGGCAATATACTGGACACAAAGCGTTGACCGCGATGCAGGCAGCGTATGATGGCTATTTTGGTCTGATCATTGATGTACTTCACCCGGAATCCCTGCTCGATCATACCGAGACCGTAGACTCCGTAGTATTTTTCAACATTCTGCAGGAGAATTTTGGCCAGGCCGTGATCGCTGAGCCGCAGTGTTTGCGTGGGTGTATGCGGTACAATCTGCACCGCTATATATCTGTTCAATGACGGTTTAGTTGATGAAATTTAATTTAAATCGTAAATATTTACCTGTTCTTAATGCGAACCATTTCAGTGTGACCGTCGCCTGCTTTCGCAAAAATACCCAATTTTCTTGCAGCCACGGAGGGTCTAAAAACCGAGACACCCTCCTAGCCGAGGTCTAAAAGTGGTAATTTAAATATAATCTAATTTTAGTACATTTTCAGTTTTGGCGGTTCAATTTCGGATAATGTTTTGTATCTTTCGGTTATCCAAATTCAAGTTGGTTTAATCGGAAAAGTAAATAAGCTGTTTTAGTAGTAGTAGTTCCCTTGATTAAAATTAAAATTATTGTCTTGACCACAAAACCATATTTTTTTCTGCCCAAAACTAAATTTTTCAAATCCATAGAATATATTGAGTATGAAAAAAAAACTAAAGGCAAAAGTTTAAAAAGTTGGGCTTATAAATAATAAATGTGAGTTCATATGTTATAGTATAGTTATAATATCTGCTTATCGTGGTTATCTCTTTGTAATATTTTTCTCCATTGCAATGGAATGGCTAAATCGCAATATAAAATCTTGTTTACAAAGCAAAGGCGCTTTTGTCTGCCAAGGAATGATTTTTCGAGTATGCGTATGCTCCTCCCACCTGCGCAATGGTGGCTGTGAGATGTGGAACATTGCTCCACGCTTCGCTCGAGTGACGATTTCTCCAAATCGCGCCTTATTGTCGTGCATCTGGTGGCAGATACCGAATGCTTACATATGTTTATATATACTTGTGTGGAATCGGGGGACGCAGCGCAACGCATCGCATTATAGCTGACTGGCGCCGCACATATGCAGAAGCCGTGGCCGCCATTCGATTTGCCCCCCGTCCCGCTCCATTGGATGCTCCATCCACCCAGCGATCGCTGGCCATGGAAAACCACTATACGGCTCGTATTCAGTCTCCGGCTGCGAGTGCGGCGGGATCCGCTCTGATCGCGTTTTATTTTCGCTTTTTCCCATCGCACATTTACAGTTATTTCTAAAAAACAATAAAATTCAGGCAGCGGCGTGGAAAAACGCTACATATGTATACTCCAACGATCCGCGTATCCACCAATCGGCCTGTGTTCGTGTTTTTCCGCTTTTCCGTTTTTTTTGTTTTGTGTGCGTGGCAAGTTCACCGATTCTGGTCTATATTTTGGAAAACGCATCCGCGCAGCCTCGTAGTTGGATTGAATATTCCGCGGCGATCGGTTCGAGCGATATAGTTGATCACAGACCCTAAAAAAAAAAACAGACAGCAACATGAGCAGCGTCGTAAGCATTGAACTTGAGTCCATTTACAAAGGATTGCCGCTTAAGAATGTGTTTTTTTTTGCTTACCCCAGGACGAAGATCTTACCCCCGAGCAGATTGCCGTGCTGCAGAAGGCCTTCAACAGCTTCGATCACCAGAAGACTGGCTCGATCTCCATCGAGATTGTGGCCGACATCCTGCGCCTGATGGGTGAGTTTGGAACTTTGGGGGTTCCAAAGTCCTGCTGCATTACTAATCCTTATCCCCTTGCGATTGCAGGTCAGCCCTTTGACAAGAAGATCCTGGAGGAACTGATCGAAGAGGTGGACGAGGACAGTAAGTAGAACATACTTTACAGATCTTAAGATCGAAAGCACAGTGATGGGTGAACTAGAATTTCCTAATCATTTAATACAATTTTATTTGTGCAACGAATACAGTTAAAAATAGACGCATTTCTGTAGTTCAAAAGTTGCAGTATTTATGTCAAAAAGTATACCAATTAAAATAATTTGTTGAGAATAGCCTATTTACAATTTGAGTGGCATATTTTTGATTTAATTTAATTCAGAGAACTAAATATGTTGAGAACAAAATTGCAAACTGTTAATATCTACAAAAGTTTTACAAACTGAAACAAAAAATCAAACTAATATTTTTCTGAATTCAAACTTTGAAAAGCAAAAATTTTTAATTTAAAAATACAAATTAAGAATTTAAGAATTAAGAAACAAACAAGTGAATATTTATTTGAATTAAATCAACTAAAAAACAACAAATTCATTCAGTTTGAATAACTAATTATTATAATAAAATTTATTAAATTTAAAATTAGGTTTTGTGTGTCCCAACTTTACCAAATCAATGATGATTCACTACCGATTTATGATCATGTTTCGGTTTTTCGTAGTCATTGATTTATGATCAAGGCAGTTTCGCGCCATCAGTTGCTTTCCAGTCGCTTTCCATCTAATATTGATCTTTTTCAGAGTCCGGTCGCCTGGAATTCGGTGAGTTCGTGCAGCTGGCGGCCAAGTTCATCGTGGAGGAGGACGCGGAGGCCATGCAGAAGGAGCTGCGCGAGGCGTTCCGTCTGTACGACAAGCAGGGCAACGGCTTCATTCCCACCACCTGCCTGAAGGAGATCCTCAAGGAGCTGGACGACCAGCTGACCGAACAGGAGCTGGACATCATGATCGAGGAGATCGATTCGGACGGCTCCGGTACAGTGGATTTCGATGGTGAGTGTTTGTTTGTGCCACATTCAGCATTCTAGTGGTTTGCCATCCACCCACATTGCCCTTATGGTGATCATAAATTGCGATGATCTTGAGATGGTGCGATCGCTCGATCGCTCGATTATGACAGCTTGATCACCGCTCCCATGGAGCATATCGGTGGCTATTTTTAGTCGCGACACACACAAATTCGATTCCGAACATATTCCACGCATTTTTCATTCTGAGTGTACATTTTTCGTGTTTATGGAATATTTATTTATAAATGCATATAGCGGTTGCCGCTGCTCTGGCATCGGTTTAATGTCTGTCATTTTGTTTAATTTACAGAATTCATGGAGATGATGACCGGCGAGTAAATAAACGCACTGCGTCTGCCACCCACTCAACCAAACCACCACCCACCAACCCCTTTGGAAAAGCACCCAAACACACAGAACACACACACACAAGCACACACTATACACACCTGTTGGGCACACGTTTGTTTGCTTCTATTTGCACACTTGTTTCACCTTTTATTTGCATTTTCCCCATTTTGTTTCAAGGAAGCAAACAAATCCACGTACTTCAGTTTGACAATGCCAAACACGAATAGAAATAGAACTTTTGTACTACTTTTTTATACTAAAAGAGCAACGGAATACTGTGTATGCGAAAAAATAAATGCTATGCTATAGCAAAAAAAAAAAAAATCAAAGCAGTCGACCCATTGTTTTCATTTGTTTTGAGATTATTTTTTGCCGCCATACATTTAATTTTGATAATAAGAGTAAACAGAGTGTTCTTTCGTTAATCGTAGGATTTCCCTGTGTTTTCCATATATGAATGTTATTTATACGTCTTCTGGCTTTCACCAAAATCTTCGTTTGACAAGTATTAAATGCTTTGGCAGAACAACAAAACTGAAAATAAATAAGCTGGCAATTAGTCACAAGTTTTCTGCTTGCGACAAATTTTTATTTGTTTAAATTTCTTTTCGAAGTGGGATTTCCTTCTAAGACAGAATACGAACGCCACTTGTTTTGATTTGACAATCTTTGAAACAATAGATTATAATTTAATTTTTATAAAAAAATCGTATGAAATAAATTTTTGTTTGTGCAAGGGAAATTATTTATTTATTTGAAATATTTTTCAGACTAGAATTTCCTTCTAACAATAGAAAAAGAAAGCCACTTGTTTTGCTCTGGCAATCGTGGGAAACAATAGATTATATTTTGGCTATAAATTTGTTTTGCAAGGGTATATGTCTATTTGTTGATATTTCTTTTCGGACTAGAATTTCACAATGGTGTAGGCTTAGTATTTTAAATTTAAGGTTTATTCTTAATAAATACCGGGCAAGGACATCATTAAGCTACTATTGGAACCATCAAGAAAGATCGGTTAATTGTTTTTAAACATTTTGGCAAGAGTCACCTAAGCATCGTAGTAGAATTCAAAAATCCAATTTATGTTTACGCTGCCTCATTTTTTAGCTACCTATTCTGAAACTTCAAGATTGAGTATTATTAACATCCTCATATCAATTATGAAATAAAGTAGATTTACAATCCCTTCGCTCTTTTGCCATAGTTATTAAATAATTATTATGCTCTTACCACCTGCTGGGCAACAAGTTGACTTCTTGTGGCTTGTAGATTTGCGAAGAGAAGCCAGCCGAAGAAAGCTGCCTGGCCGAAAGCTCGCGTCTTAACCACGTTAAGTCTACAAGTCTACACAACGAGCGTTGGCTCGTCATCCAGATGGTATTTTATACTGCTGAGTTGAGCGCTGGGCGTCGAGCGTCGAACGTCGTACCGCTTCCGCCGTTAATTGAGCCCCCTAAATTAAACTATCCGCGAGTTGTCCGCTTTTTACAAAAAGAGTCTCGTGATTCGCGGTTCGCGATTGATAGAGAAAAAGAGGCGGGTTGTTCAGTGAATATATATAATATATATTCAGTATGCCGCAGAGGTAAATAAAGTGCCTGGCTGTACCGTTATTTATATAATAAGAGTAACAAAATGTGTTTGTTTTGGCCTATTCGGTGTGTGGCCAAGAATCAAGAATGCGAACGTGTTAAGAGCCGCAAAGCCACAGCCATTGGCCATGTCAATAAAATTTATGATGGCATAAAGCGTTTTTTTTTTTTTTTTGGAAGGCACCTACCTACCAACCTGCCTTTCATCGATGTTCTCTTTTGGCCTTTTCAGTTTTCTTGACATTGGCTTATCAAATAAATTATAAAACTAAATTGGACCTGATAAAGCAGTTGTAAATTGTGCGTGTGTGAATAGAGTGTATGGAGTGCTTTAAGTGTTTGTGTGTGTGTGTTTGCGGCGATCGTCAAGTTCGCTTGATAAGCGTTTATTTTTCGTGGGTTTGTGTAATTTTAGCCATGATTGAAAACGAAAGCCATTGCCACCGGTTTAGCGACACGCGCTGCAGTGAATCGAGCGGGGATTTTTTAGCGGGCAATACGGGAAAATTCTGCAGCTCAGCGGCAGAAACCAGACGCCGACGTCAGCCGCCTGTGACGTGAGTCACAACAATGGCCCACCAATTAGCACTTGACTTTGAATCAAATCAAACCGAAATCAGTCGCAAACACGATAACGAAAGCCACAATTGTCCGATCCGAAGGGCAAACAAAACGCGTGTAATTCGCGACTCGCCAAGACTAACCCGAATGTCTTTCTGTTTCTTTGAAGTCCCACCAACAACTGGTCATTTCAGCCACTTCATCGCCAGCGGAGCAGCAGCGGATATCCCCAGCATGTCCTTAATACGGTGCCGGAGACCGCCGTGCTCACCACGCCCCCGCCCACCCGAAAACGTATGTAGAATTTGAATTTGGCGCTCTAAAAAGCAGTGCTGCAAGCAGCTAACAGTGGCTGTTGTGCTGAGAAGGTTTATCAATATTTTGGGTCAAAGAGGGATGAGAATAGATACTGCAGATGTATCAGCCAATTTTTTTTGTATATTTTCGTCGTATTTTTTCATTATTATCAAGGTTTGAGTGGCCTAACAGCGCTCATTTAACATGCCTCTGTTACGAAATTCGCACGCTTTCCAACATTGTTTCAAACGGTATTTTTGGCAGGGCTACCGATTAGAGCTATATTCACGAATATAATAGTGAACTAAAATCTAAATTTGCTACAAAAAATTTAAAATATTTGTAACTAAAAATAAAAGTTTGTATTAAATGTTGGAGTAAAAGTTATAAATAATAGCTCTGTGCTTATATACAAGTAAATAAAATTGTTTGCATAAATCTTAAGATTATTAAATTGTTGTTTTACAATACAGTTAAATTGGAAAACATCGTTTAGATAAGACAGTAAATAATGCTGATATAGAATTGGTTAAAAATACTTTTTCGAATTACGCGGGCGCTCTCTGCGGTCTAGTATAAAAGCGGTATTTTTTAGGACTTTGCTCAACTCCCAACTTCGCTAGCACTTGGCAACTCTGCTTTCAATTAAACAACAACAACTGAAATAAAAACAAAAATTACAGCGCTCACAATACAAATTGCTGGCGTTGCTTCAGCGGAAAGCGGACACAAGCGCAGATTTTTAGCAGCGCGGAAAAAGCCGAAAAGCGCGATGAAAATGCTCGCGGACACGGAGCGTGAGGAAGCCCTCAATTTGGTGAGTTTTTGCGATGGCTTAAACTATGTGAATCCATGACAACGGCATTGCAGCAACAAAAACAATAACAACCGTTTGCCAAAAAAAACGCGATTAATTCGACCCTTTGTATATTGGCTAATTGATTATCGATTATCGGTCTCTTGTTCTGTTTTTCATGCTTTTCCTGCTTTTCCCCACTTTTCCGTCGCCCCCGCACACTCTCGGTATTATTGATTTGTACACGGAACGTGCTTTGTTTGATGGCGCTATCGCAAAAATACCACATACACCGACGCACATATATAATCTCTGGCTGGCGGGACGGGACCACGAAATACAAATACGGAACACGAAAATATGCAAACCCAAACCCACACCAAAACCCAAACCCATACACCCATTTCCATTTCCACACCCGCAGCAAATTGAGTTCGAATGGGTGCTGCGACAAGAGGTACACGCGATACTGAAGCAACTGCGGACCATTCTGGTGGTAAGCACATATATTCGGATTAGCCTTGTCCAAACTCCAGCTCAGATATCGCTAAATCAACCTCTATATCTATTGTAAACCCACAGGAATGCGCCCATCGGTTTCCGGTGCCCCTGTACGAGAACGAGGGAAAGAAGACTGAGAAGTTCATACTCACCGTGTCGCCCGATCAGCTGAAGGCCGTGCTAACGTTAACAGGCGATGCCATCACCCAGGCTGTAAGTGCCAAAATCCCCTTGATAAAGATGGGCCAACACCCATAATCACTGAGTTCCGCAAAAGAAGTTAGGTCTGTACAGTAAAACAGGTCAAAGTATTGAAGACAAGACTGTAGCTCCCCGAAAGGAATGGGAATATCACAACTATTTAATGCTATGCCTTTATATCTCCTTCTACTACGATGATTCAGTACTGGGGCAGATTGTAGCTTCCCTAAAAGTGTCGGGAAATAACCTTTCTTGTTCGACCACGCGAACGACTAAGAAAGCTTTCATAGAACACACAGTTTTAGAAATAATATTAAAATTGGTGACAAAAAACCTTTCAGTTGAAATTCGTTTAAATCACACAATTATATTTACAAATACCATACAATTTTCGGCAGAAGAGATTTCTTAAATAACAAACAACCGACAAGCATCCCTAAACACAAAATCTTGGATTATCGACCTTAGACAGTTGTATTTGCGGTAGGAAAATCGTATTTCCGTGTTGTTGCAAATATAAAATTGATTTTTAGAAATTTTTAAAAAGTTGGAGCCATTAAGTTCTATCTCAAGTTCTAGTACAGCTCAATTCTCAATTCAATTAATAATCACTTAATCATTTCCTTATATATAATATTACGCCATTCGGATTATAAGTAAAAAAACTTGAATAATCAACTGATTACAATGTTAGTGTTTATTACTTTGTGCCTAGCTAGGTTTCATATAAAACTTATTTAAAATCCACTAAACATGCCATAATTCATTTTTTCTGAAGTACAAAAATTACATAACTAATAAGAAGAATAATTATAAGAAATAATTGAAATAAATAAAATTTTTAACGCTACTCTACTACTACAATTATTAGAAACAAGCTAAAGCTTTAACATTTTTGTTCTTTTGTTAGAATTTTTACCAAAATTACATTACCTTTTTCTCGTTTCATAACAAAACTAATCGGCAATTATTTTTTCCAGGACATTAGCTTTAAGCTGTGCAAGGCCCCGAGCCAAACGCAACGTACCTCCATCACACATGACTCGCCCTGGAAGCTGCAGCAGGTCCAGGATGCCGCCAATCATCTGCAGACCGCCATTAATCACATAGACGATGTCGACGACTCTTATCACTTCAAGTGAGTCACGTTCTGCTTTGCATGAGCATCGCCATTCGAGGTTCTAAATATAAATATACAAATGTACTTCCCATAGAACCTCCGACGAAGTGCTGCATGTGATAGGCAACATTCTGGACGCACTGCAACGCGGCAGAAACAGCCTGCTGGTGCCTAAGAAGAAGCCCATCGACGAACTGATCAAGGGGCGCAATATGAAGTCGCTGGTGCCCAATCTGCCCGAGGATCTGGCTGTTAGCTTCTACCTGCAGAGCCACAAGCTGATCATTGCCGTCTACCAGCTGCTGAACAACCAGGGCACCATGCGCTTCGACTCCCGCCAGGCGGAGGCCTCCGTCCAGTGGCTTAACGATGTGCTACTGCTGCTGATGAATGGCCAGAAACTGTGCCAGCAATTGAAAGACAAGGTGAGTCGCAGGTGCAGCACCGGAAGTGGGCCAAAGAACGTACGTTTTGTATGACTGCACACAATACAGAAAACTTGTAAAGGCGGCAAGAAGGGCAGGCACCAATAAAAAATAATGAAAACTTGTCAGCTCATTAGCATTCTGTAATTATAATCAGTTTCATCACAAAGGGTAAACAATTATTGATATACAGACAGACTGTCTATGGTCCAATTTTATTTAGAATTTATGGGTAGTATATCATGTTCGCCCCCCGCATTTACCAAAAAAAAAGGAATACGAATGCTCAGCGGGCTAAAAGTATACACAGAAAAAGTCAATTATTTCCTAGTAAGACAACAAATGTATTTTTTTGCCTACACGGAAACCAAATTAATGTTTGGAAAACGTTGAAAAAAACCTCAAATATTTTGATTTAATTTCAAAAGAACTGTCTTAAAAAATCGTGTATAATGGAATAGCGACTTTAATTTGTTTTGTATTAATGTAAAGTAGCTATTTATTTGGTATAATTAAACAAGATTGACTATTTAAATTCATGTTCATATTTTTGTCAATTAATAATTAGTAGCAGAAAGTAAACTATTTTTGTATCTTTCAATAAACTTTTTATTTGTCATAAAACATAATTTTTTCGCGCAGTATACATATGTTAGGAACAGAGATATTTTGGTTCTTGAGAAGATCAAAATTGATCTATCATTTTTAGGTCAGAACAATTCGTAAGTGCTTAGCAATTACTTCCCGCCCACACGATTATATGTACATGAAACACACCCACCAAGTTAGGACTATTTTTGGAATAAGCCGGCACTGATAAGGCGTCTGCTCTTGAACTGATACCACGCCGCTTCGCATCGACGGAGCACATGTGCCGAGTGTCGTAGATGTTGTCCCATTTTCCGCACCCACAAGATGCTGCCAAGTTTTGTTTGGTTGCTGGCCAACTGCCAGGGCCACGCTGCAGTTCTTGACTGTGACGCAAGTCGGCAATTAAAGTGGCCAATATGGGGATTGGCACAACTACGGCAAATATGGGGGAATGAGTTGTGGGTGTATTTTTAATTCCGTATTTCAACTCTTTCGCAGATATCTGTGTTTTCGGTGTACAAAGATTTCACAGTTGGCTCGCGTTCGCCCTCAGCGCTTTCCTATTGAGATGAGGCGGCATCGGGATCGGGATTGGGATCGGGATCGGGATCGGGAACGGCTACTTGATGGATAGCAACTGTGGAGCGGCGACAGAAACAATAACAACAATAATAGCTAATAAAGAACCGTACTTGTAATAGCGAAGTAAATAATGTTAGTTAAAATGTTGCTACTGGAAACGGCACACCCATAATACCCATGCATACTATACTATACTATACTATACTATACTACACTATACTATACAACACCATACTACATATAATGAAAAGAGAGTAGTATACATACATCTAGTTAAATGAACACAATCAACATTCATGTTAAAATACGTTTACGTAGAACCTGAGTTCATCGCTTCACGTCACTCCAATTATGCATCAAAATGCATCTAAATAGCATTAGAATTCAATCTGAGAATTGAGAAAGGAAAATGTTTGTGAAAACCAATTGTGTTTTGTATGTGTAACTAAATGAAATTGCTAGATAATTATAGTTTATTCGTACGTGTAATTTAATGTATAATACTATGCCCCATTATTTATGATCGCGAAGATGCAATGTAATCCACCAAGTCAGCAGTCAGTCGGTACTTAAAGTCGGTACTTACAACCTATATACACCCCAATAGGCCTCCATATACCTAAGTACATACGGATGGGGCACCTACATCGGCATTTACATGATATTGTTGTAATAAACCAAACCGAAATGTGAACAGAATTTTTAATTGTACTAAACACCGTTTTGTATTCGTATTCGTAATTGAATATCCGTAACTGTATTCCCCGTACTCGTTAATGGTTAATGGTTAATGGTTAAGCGCGCCTAATCCTAATCTAATCCAAAGTCATTTGTATCAACGGCCTTTACTTCTCGTTTACTTTATACATCTACCAGGGAGTTTATAAAGATATAGAATGTTATTGAGAGATGCAACGAAAACAATTACCACTGTACTTATTGAATATTACAATTGCCTAAGCACCCCTACTAAATGCATGGGAAAAGAAGACAACTATTTATGTAATCACTAAGCGTACTTACTGTCCACATTCATTTAATTGTTGTTGAATAAATAATACCTTTTACCAAAAGGCCTGTTTTGAAAAGCCTTCGATTTCTCGCGCCAAAAGCGAGTTTGCTGCGATCGATAGCAGCGATAGCGATAGCCCGGCGGTTTGGCAACGCTCGCTTCGGTCTTAGCCAGTCTTGTTGTTTATGGCCAACAATCAGTTTCAAGTCAGCAGGCAAGCGCAAAGGTTTGCTAAACAACAAAAGACCCTTTACTTTTGGTAAGCGGAAATCCCTACTGATTTATAGTTTGGCTCTCGGACTTCTAGATGCACATGTGTGGTTGATCTAAGTGGCTGAAATGGCCAGGCAAAAATGCCAAAAAAGTGTTGACGTGCATGTCGAAATAGACGCGGTAACCAGTTCGCCGTAATTGTTTTGATGCTGTGTTGTAATCTGTAAGCCAGCCCAGCCACAACATTAGCACATTTAGCCATGTTTCTCTTTGTTGTGGTTGCTGCTGGAGTTGCTGTTGCTGTTGCTGGTGTTGCTGATGTAGATGTTGCTGCTGCTACTATTGTGTTTCGTTTGTTTTTTTTTTAAGTCTGCACAATGGCCTTAGTTGCTGGACTGCGTCTAATAAAATCTGACAAAATTTGACCGTGGCCAAGTAACACACTAAGGGGGGAAAAAGAAATCGAAAGCTGCAATACGAAAAAGTCAATGGCCTTTTTGTTATATCTCGATTAAGGACTTTTCTTTTTCCCTTGCTTAAAACAAGTTTCCCTTCAATCTTTGACCTTTCTGGCAAATTTTGTGGACAGCTTTCAAAACTCTTTTGGTTTCCTATATTTTAGTTTATCTAGTGTCTAATAATAAAGTTATATTTTTATTAAAAAATATGAGCAAAAAAAAAAAACCAAGAGTTTAGGAAATCATCAATCAAAAATCAAATAATATTAAAAACCCAAGTATCTTTGGCTAAAGAGTAAAACTATTGATTCTACAAAACTTAAATCTTTAGTTGGGAATTTGAGTGTTTAGTTAAATCTTTCTTTTCTATTTTTTTCTGAAGTCCCATTTGCAAACAATCGTAAAAATGTTTTTCCTATGAATTTTCAATGAGTTTGATTTCAGAATTTCTATCTTATTTGTGGTTCCTAAATTTTTAGAAATATTAAATAAGTCTCTTGTTTTATGAATTTTCGCATTGTGTGTTTTTCAACGAAACCAAATGATATTCATAGGTTCCATGACTTTTGGCCAGGTTTTTTCTTTAGAAATCTGAAAGTGGATTAAAAAACTATTTCCCAAAATTTAGTTTAGCACCCAATTCAATTAGATTTAAAAGCAAAATTTGTTTTAGTGAAAGCTGGGCAAAGGTTTCCTGTAATTTAAAATAGGCAGATTACGTAGGGTATGAAGCAAATAATTCATTTAATCAGGGAAATGTGGACAAGACAAAGTATATTAAATACCTACGTATATATAGTAGCCAGCCACCTTTATTAGCGGGCCAGGGCGTCACGTAAGCCGCGCATTTGAAAATGCGCCGAGTCACTCGCAAACCTGCTCCGCTGACCCTCAAAGAAGGTCGCCGGCTGATGATGAGCCAGTTTATGTGCGATATCCAAGTGGCCGGGTTTATGGGGCTGTCGACCATAAAAGCCACTCTCACGGAAACTCCACTTAGCTAGTTAAGCCAGCCAGCCAGCTAGCCAGCTTGCCAGCCCAGCTAACCTGCAGTCGGTGTCGTTGCAGTAAACCCAAAAAGCAGTGCACTTTGACCCCCGGACGCAATGAGCGGCGGCAACGAAAGCGGGCCAACTGAAGTGGTGCTCGTAACCGGCGGCAGTGGATTTCTGGGCCAGCACCTCATCAAGCAGTTGCTGGAGCGGAAGCAGGAGCTGGGCATCAAAGAGATCCGCTCGCTGGACATAGTGCCCTACCAAAACAACATCGGGCATGAGGAGACGACCCTGTTGCGCACCTTTGTGGCCGATATCGCAGGCGATCGGGAGGAACTCGGTCCAATCTTCACAGGGGTGGACGGCGTATTCCACTGCGCCGCCTCGGTGAAAATCGAGTACCCGCCCAACTATGACGAACTGGAGCGCGTGAATGTGAAAGGTGAGTGAGCAGATAAAGTGCCACATGGGAAAGGTATCTCGAGACCTAATTTCTTTAACTAAAATGAGCCGAAATACTCTTTTACTAGTCAATCACTAAACTTTCGGAATCAGGGACCTTAATCATTTGAGGTTTCTTATTAAAAACAGAAAATAATAAATATCTTTTCGTTTTTATAATACACTTTGACAATAACTATTATTTTTGAGAAAATAATAAATCTCAAAAATAATGATTATGTATTTTTGACCCAATTATAAATCTCATAAATAATGATTATGTATAATTTGTATTACAATTTCAGTCAAAAATTTGACTTATTATCTTATTTTTACTAAACTTCTGTGTTCTAGGGACACTTGCTGTGGTGGATTTGTGCATTCAAAACAATGTTAAGCGGCTGGTCTACACTAGCTGCACATCCGTGTGTTTTGTGCCCTTTAAGGGGCAAAGTACCTTCTCGGCGGTAATTAACTCAACGGAATCCAAGACAGACACTCCCACGCTGGACAGTTCCACTCTCTGGGAGCAGGACAATCAGTTCCTGATACAAGGATACGCCTCCAGCAAGCTGAGAGCAGAAAACATAGTGCTCAACTCGAATGGCGTACCTCTGCAGAACCAGAAAGGTAAGTCCGCTTTTAATAATTCTGAGTTTTATTACGATTCATTTTAGCTTTTAAGTATCTTTTATTTATTACTATTACATTAGGGAAACTACCCAAATAGGCTATCTTTTCAATATGTTTAACATATGTACTTACCATTGCATTTATAAGAAAAAAGCCATTGTATAGATATAGATATAGGTATATAGTATTATAGATTTTTCGATGCTTTACCCTTTCTTTGAATACAATTTTTGGAATTAATCATGAAAAACTGAAAAAACCATTGCAGAATACTTGGCCACCAGCGCCATTCGCGCCCCACTGACCTACGGCGAGTGTGATTCGCACTTCATCACGGAGGTCTTTGACTATCTTTCCACCCGGGGATGGGTGTTTCCAAGGATCGCAGGGGTTGGCGGCAAGCAGCAGTTGGTCTACGCTGGCAACGTGGCCTGGGGACATATCTGTGCCTATAAGGCACTCAAAGTGTCCGACCGGGCGGTGAACGGACTTCCCGTCTTCGTCACCGACGACACGGGCATCAACGATGTGTCCCGATTCGTTCAGAAGATGGCCGTGATGGGCGAACGGTTCAGGGTGCGGACCAGCTGGTGGTACGTGCCCCACTTCCTGTTCTTCTTCCTGGCCTTCCTGCTGGAGGCGGTGGTGCGGGTGGCGTATCCCTACACAAAGTACCGCCTGCGCTACTCCCTGCGCGCCCTCGCCTCCTACACGTCCTCGATGCTGATGTACAACCGGCTGCGCGCCTCCATCCACATGGACTACATGCCGCTCTACGATCCGGACGAGAGTGCCGAGCGGAGCGCCAAGTGGTATGCCCGCTGGTGGGACGAACGGCAGCAGGCCAAGAAGCTCAAGAAGTCGAAGTCCAGCTGAGCGGCGATCTGGCCGCATTAAAATAGTGTTAGCCCCGATGTCGGGAGTGGACTTGTGTTCTCCTGCCCTCACTTGATGTCCTGTAAATATCCTGTTAAATAAAATGGTTGTTGTTCGTTGTACCAAATTGTATTTTTGTTTTGCCAATTAAGAAATTTTTAGCAAATTATCCAGAGAGAACTATAGAAATATAACCCATGGAGTGTCCCAAGTATTAAATAACAACCCAGTAAAAAGCACTTGGACAGCATATGTTTTTGAACAATGTTCATATTGGTTTATTTATCATTATGAATTAATTTATTTATTTCTCAGTTATTTCATTATAATTTTTATTTTATATATATATATATATATATATTTGTTTGTCTTGGTTTTCTGTTCTTCTTGTTTTTTTGTTGCTCTAGAGCGTTTCTTGCCGTTTGTTTTTTAAACTTATGTACCATTAGCTTAACTTATTATGCCATTATTTAATTTCATTTTTGTTTAAAATCATGTTTTAGTTTTCTGTTCTTTTGTATTTTTTTTTTGTATTTTTTGGTTTTTTGTTTTGTTTGGTTTAATATGCGGTTGCTGATCTTAGTGGTTGCTGCTGATTCTGCCGATTCCACTGCCGATCTTAACCCGATCGAGGGGATAATGGGGTATCCCCAAGAACCTCATCTTTCCTCCCTGTACGTGGCACATTGTGAACAAAGTGATTTTTAATTTGCTGCTAAAGTTGTTCGCATTTTTATTTTTGCATATACATATTGCGGGCTGACTGTGTGAGTGGGTGTTAGTGTGTGTGTGTGTGTAGTGGTCAAGTGTGTGTGTGTGTTAAAAACTTATGTCATTTTATGTTTGTACAAAAGAGCAACAATTTGCCCTTTTGTCGTCTGTTAATAAATGTTGCACTTGCTGTGTTGTTAAGGATGTTGCCGTTGTTGATGGTTTTGTTGCTGATGTTGTTGGTGGCCGCAAAGCTCTGTTCTTTTCGATTCGAGGGTCCTTATATATAATTGAATTTCTTTAACCACCGGTTTGCGTGCCTGTCTGTCTGTCTGTTTGCTCATCGAATGCTTAACATTATTGAATTTAACTATATGTTTATTTGTTGTTCTTGGTTATATAACTATGTATATATATGTATATATATCATTTTGGGTTTTATTCTCATATATGTATATACGGGCATATTTGCGGTCCTCAGAAAGGTTCTTCGGCCTTTTTGGGGTCTGTTCTCCGTTTAATATATATATATTTTTGTTTTTTGTATATATTTCGAATTTTCTTGTCTTGTTTTTTGCCTTTCCTCGTAGTAAATATACAAATTCGTTACCGGATTTCTTTATAGAAATGAAAAATGGTTTATTAAATTCTCGTTATGCTTCTATTTATGTGTATGTGTCCACCGCCCTCCGTCGCTTTGTTGCGGTTTCTTGCTGTTAATTATTATGTTTTTA